TTATTTAGGCTGTTCAGAAATATGAGGAAGAGACATAGGCCGTGTTCGAGAGGATCAAAACAGTAATGTATAATGGGAAAACTGTGGTTGACTGACTACTGATCTACAAATAATAATGAGTAATCATTTATGATGCAAAGTTCTTTGTAGATCAGTCATTCGGCAGTCGCCTGCACTGTCGGCTGCAATGTCGAACAAGCCCATAGGCTACATCATCATGGTTCATCATCATGGTTCATCATCATGGTTCAGAAGAGGGTGAGTAAAAAGACTGCTCATGCTCTCAAAATGTTGGCGCCCAGAGATGACACGTTTCCGAGGTGAGCAGGACGATTATGAGATGAAGTTATGTCGGGATGCCACTGGGCCGCAAGCAAAGTCAGGAGAAGAGGAATATTGGGACAGGGACATAGAATGGTGGATTTCTGTGGAGGAATGGAGGGGAAAAAAGAGGAAGAAGTCGAAGAGAATGAGGAAAGCAGAGGTTGGATTTGAATTTGAGGAAGATGGTGATAAAAATTGAGATGGAGTGTCGATGAAGATTGGTGTCAAGTGCAAACAGAGTGAGCCGTGCGCCAGACTGAGTTCTAGAGGTGAAATGGAAGTGAATAAGGGCGAGGTGGAAGGTGTGGTGAAGAGCTCGGAACCCAAGCCTGGCATTAATGGACATGAAGAATCTGGTCCAGTAGGAGTTAACTTTTTGGAGAAAGTGGATCCTTGCCTTTAAAAAATGAGTTTGGTGCAGTTGAATCAGTGAAGGTAACCTGTAGTGGACTTGTGATATTTGTTTGTGTTCTTCTGACCAGAGGGAGCGGAAGCTCCGTGTCACGCAACTTGGGTCAAGATCTGTTTCTTGCTTTGCTCTTAGGAACAGGGCACCATTGAAAGGAGTGATTTCTGGGGTCGGTTAAGTGTGGACAGGGAGCAATTGAAGTTGAAGATTCCTGGTGTTTGTGATGCTCACCATTTGATGCGACACAGACCCGTTGGTGAGCGTGGTGAAACAGAGGAGTCACTGTCAGTCATTTTGAGTCAGAGTCTCTACTAGACAAAGTCATGTCAGGATATATCAGTTATCTTGTTAGAGCTTTTGTGCCGAATCCACTGCGCTGTTTCAGGTGCAACATTTATGGTCATGTCGCAGCAGTTTTAGGAGGGAGATTCCAAGTTGTGGGAAGTGTGCAGGAGGGCATGGGATAGAGGGTTGTGTAGTTTCGGTGGATAAAGTTGTGCGTGTCAACAGTAGGGGTGCCCATATTGCTGGGGATCAGAAGTGTTTGGTGCGAGAGAGGGAGGTTGAGGTGGCTAGTGTCAGAGTAGTGCAGAAGGTGTCGTATGCTGAGGCAGTGAAGAAAGTAGAGGAGGATGGGTCAAGGGTGAAGGATCCTGAGAGGATCCTTGTGAGTAGTAGATCTGTGCCAGCACAGAGGGATAGTCCAAAGAGTGATATACAGTATGCTTCAGTAAGGTTGGCTTCTTAGCGTTCATAGCAATGGTTATTGCAGAAATGGAACGTAAATCACAGAAAATAGATGTTGTGATGGCAGCTGCAGAGAAGTATTTGGGTATACGAGATTTGACTTCAGAAGAGTTACAGGGTGTGTTGAGTGGTGTTGTCCCGTCCTCCCAGGACGTTGGCATGGATCTGTAGCTTTGAGAAAGAGGTTTCCTAAGGGTTACCCCCTAGAGTCGATATCTGCACCCCCAAATAAATATAATTAGCATAATACAAAAATACCCATACAAATCTGTGTGATGGAAAATGTATTGTGGGTTGACTGCACAAAGGAGTAAACCACACTATCACTTTAATTAATTTGGCAGTACGCCCAGAACATTGCTCTGGGAACTAGAAGGAGTGATACAATATCTCTGTTTCAAGGTAAGAAGCCTCATGTGGAATAAATCAGTCACATACAGGAACCAACCATGCGTATATGATTTGTTTGTGTAGCAGTATAAGAGGACTGAAAGGGAACCTCCCCTTTAGAGTTTCATCAGGCTTGTATTGAGTTTGTGAACCTCTCAACGCGTTAATAAAGATTGCTTCACTTACTTTAATTTTGAGTCCTTAGTGGTGAATTTCCACGACATCCAGACTAACCTAAAGATATCAGTTGTTTTGCATGGGCTGCGTCTCAATCTACCGCATCCGCCGGTCTTCCGCATCTGCGGTGGAAGGTGGTCGAGCTACAGCAGTGTTTGTCAGACCATGAGACATTCAGAAAATCGGTCTTCTCACGAAAACGCCTGTTTAACAAACTAATACTATGGAAAGATGAGACTCAAAAACATGATGGTGTTCCCCATTTTGCTCTACGACCTCCACAAGCATCCACAAGCATCACAGGACTCGTCTGAAGTTGGTACCGCTGATCTGCCAACTTCTGTCTGTAGTGTCCGAACAGTTTGGGCTACACACTAATGACTCTATGGAAAGGTGACTCTCACAAACACATACATCTCAGTTGTTTTGCTCTAGGATGCCCACAAGCCTCACAAGACTTGTCTGATGGTAGCCCAGACACTTAAACAAACTTTATTTTTTCACTGTCTGTTTTTCCATGTATGAATCTGTTATTCAATGCGTTTCTATGGACCAATAGCAGTGAGGCCAAATTCAATGTTTCATCAAATATTTACATATATATATATATATATATATATATATACACCTAAAGGGGTCCTAAAATTCAAAATCAAATAGCTAAATTATCCTTGGTATGACCATCTTAAAACAATTCCATATGTTAGCTTAGTGGCGAGTGGCGCAGTGGTCTAACGCACTGCATCGCAGTGCTAGCTGTGCCACTAGAGATCCTGGGCCGCGACCGGGAGACCCATGGGCGGCGCACAATTTGTCCAAGGTAGGGGGGGGTTTGGCCGGCAGGGATGTGGGTTCGTTTCCCACGGGGGGCCAGTATAAAAAAATATATATGTATGCATCCACTAACTGTAAGTTGCTCTGGATAAGAGTGTGTGCTAAATGACTATAATGTAGTAGAGGGACATCCCAAGGATCCCAGATAGCATGGACCGTTTACAGACGGGCGGGGCGGGGACAAAAACTCTGTATTCGCAGCCAAGTCTTCTTCTTCTTTAGGATTTGGTTGGCAGATCGCATCCAACTTTTATGTGCATACACCGCCACCTACTCTACTGGTGTGTGAGGCCTTTCACAACCTACCTACATGAAATTCTTGATATGGTAATACAACATTTGGAAAAAGGAAAATTACCCTGCTAACTATTAGCCCTCTATAAAAATACAAAAAATACCACCCCATTCCACTATTTAACCCTATCTATCCTACTCCAGACCAACAGTCTGAGAGGGCAGAACACTACCACTCAACATCACCTGCAACACCACATTCCTTTGTCTCATGCCCTCCTGCACACTTCTCACATCTAGGAATCTCCCTTCCTACACACTGCTGCAACATGCCCATGTACTTGACACCTAAAACACCGTAGTTACTTACACTTCCTAACTTGACCTTGTCGAGTAAAGACTCTACATCAAAACTCAGCAGAACAGACAATGTTTCCCCACCCGGTCTGCGTCGCACCATACGGCGGGTGTCACAGACACCGGGAATCTTCCATTTCAACTAATCCTCCTCAACACAATGCCATCCCGCTATCAATGACGCCCTGCTCCAGAGAGCAAAGCAAGTCACATTTCTTGTCCCTAATCACGTGATCCGGAGTTCCCGCTCCCTCTGGACTGAAGAAACACAATAAATCATCACTATTCCACTGAGTTACTCTCAACAGTCCCCAACCTCTTATCCACTCATCTTCAACCTGACACCACATATCAGCCAAAATGCAAGGATCCATTCCCTCCACAAATCTTAGTCCCACTGGGCCAGAATCATCCTTTTCATCCTCACTGCAGGTACTACTCCATGAACTCGTCAGGTTCCATCTCTGAGCTACTAGGGGGCGTATCCCTCTTTTTGCACTTTGCGCCAAACTCCCTCACCACACCACTGCCCTCTACACTCAGCTCCTTCTCGGTGGTCATCACTGCACCTGCCACTCTTTTCATGTTCACTTTCCTTCTCTAGCTCAGTGCGATCCTCCATTCCATATTCCCTCAAAACATATTCCCCTTTTCTCCTTATCCAGGCGGTGTCAGAGGAAGGCCCTCAAAATTGTCAAAGACTCCAGCCACCCTAGTCATAGACTGTTCTCTCTGCTACCGCACGGCAAGCGGTACCGGAGTGCCAAGTCTAGGTCCAAAAGACTTCTCAACAGCTTCTACCCCCAAGCCATAAGACTCCTGAACAGCTAATCATGGCTACCCGGACTATTTGCACTGCCCCCCCACCCCATCCTTTTTACGCTGCTGCTACTCTGTTAATTATTTATGCGTAGTCACTTTAACTCTACCCACATGTACATACTACTTCAACTACCTCAACTAGCCTGTGCCCCCGCACATTGACTCTGCACCGGTACCCCCCTGTATATTTAGCCTCCCTACTGTTATTTTATTTTACTTCTGCTCTTTTTTTTCTCAACACTTTTTTTGTTGTTGTTTTATTTTTACTTTTTTGTTAAAAATAAATGCACTGTTGGTTAAGGGCTGTAAGTAAGCATTTCACTGTAATGTCTGCACCTGTTGTATTCGGCGCATGTGACCAATAAAATGTGATTTGATTTGATTTGATTTGATCCGCCATCTTCTCCTTCACCAGATCTTCCAGAAGGCTTGTGAAATCCCACACTCGATATTTATTAATAATATGTCCACTTTTTTCCTTGTCCGTCATCTTCTTTCGTTTTACCTCCATTCATCCCCGCGCGGTAATCTCACCCGCAGCCACGTCCTCGATAATAATGGCAAATGTAGAGCTATGGCGCCCTCAACTGGTGTAACCGAGTACTCACAGGCAACACTGATTTACTGACTGTAGTGGGATATCTTGTTGACAATGTAGTCTTTGCTTCAACTTCTCTGGGCATTCCTTCCGGTACGTCAATTCAACATGGCAGCGCCCAGTACTGTGGGAGGGATAGCGGAGAAAAACAGCACCGAAACGGGACAAATATTACCAAAATCCACATGTGGAGAACTGAAAACAACTCAGTTCGGAACCCGTTTCCTGACAGACCCACGTCAAGTTTTTCAACATAACGCATGGTTCGTATTTTAGCATGCATACTACTGGTGGTGGTGGTAGTACACACACGGATAGCCCTTGATCATGACTCTCAGTTCCATTACATTACAAAAGAGTCATTGGACGAAGGTTTCTGTAGGGGGAGTTTTATCGTATCTTTCATATCAGCGAGATATATATATATTTTTTAAGTTTAAATTGATACACGCCTTTTTATATAGGGTTAGGGTTACCACACGCCATATTTCCATGTTATCAAATCAAATGTTATTTGTCACATGCGCCGAATACAACCTTACAGTGAAATGCTTACTTACAAGCCCTTAACCAACAATTCAATTTTAAGAAAGAATACCCACAAACAAATATAATATGAAGTAAAAGTAACAAATATTTAAAGAGCAGCAGTAAAAATAACAATAGCGAGGCTATATACAGTCAATGTGCGGGTGCACCGTTAGTCGAGGTAATTGAGGTAATATGTACATGTAGGTAGAGTTATTAAAGTGACTATGCATAGATAATAAACAGAGAGTAGCAGCAGCGTAAAAGAGGGGTGGGGGGGCAATGAAAATAGTCTGGGTAGCCATTTGATTAGATGTTCAGGAGTCTTATAGCTTGGGGGTAGAAGCTGTTTAGAAGCCTCTTGGACCTAGACTTGGCGCTCCGGTACCGCTTGCCGAGCGGTAGCAGAGAGAACAGTCTATGACTAGGGTGGCTGGAGTCTTTGACAATGTTACAGCGCTTGTTTACGGAAAACAGATTATTAGCTATCTGCGTCTTCGATCACCTGTGTGTAAATGGAAGACGGACGCCAGAAACATGTTAATTGTGTTAAACTCGGTTAAAACGGTAAGTGTACATTTTGCATTTGTGAAATTATTTTGATGTGATATGAAAGTAGAGGAATTTATGTTTCTAGAACCTTACTGCAATTGTAAATCGATTCATGTTTAAGTGGAGTATTTGGCTGTTCTGGCTTCCAGAGCCAATTTGCTTTTAAACAGAACATGTAAGGTCCTTGGACTATAAGGAGTAACGTTAGGCTCCATTAGTCTATTATTGGGGTAACATATGGACAGAACAGAACTAGGCATGGGTAGCATGTCTTCCTCATGGTTTCTAATGGTGTTGGTGTCCCATTCACTTTCAGGGACAATGTGGAGTGGACAGAGGAGCAAGAGGCAGCTGCCAAGAAGAAGGTCCAAGAAAACAGTCAGCCCCTCCCTCAAGAGAAGCAAGGTTGGTTCTGAACCAGAATCTGGGCTTACAGGATACGTCCTCCTTTAAGACCAGGAAGCAGCCATTCAACTTGCCATTCACCAGCTTTTCAAGCTTAATAATGTCAAAATACGTTTGGTACTTACCAAAGAAAGAAGTTTCACAGAGCAACTATTGTCATTACTGCCATCCCGGCCAGTATGTACTTCCAAGAAAGGTCTAAATAAAAAGTTCCATGGAACAGAGAAAATGCCTTTTATGGAAAGAATCTAAGTGCCAAATCCACCTCATTACTTCCACCAGAGATCTGTGTATAATGACGAGATGCTCATGTCTCCGCCGATGTTCATGTCTCTGGCCGTGTTCTAGAGCATCAAAACGACTGTAGGCGACTGCCGTCTGACTGATCCACAAATCACCTTGCATCATAAGTAACGACTCATTATTATTTGAAGATCTGTCAGTCAGTCACAATTTACCCATGATACATTGCGGTTTTGATCCTCTCGAACATGGCCAATGCCTTGTCTGGATATAATCTAAGTATTGTTTTTGAGCAAGTGCACATGCGCCAAATCCACCTCTTCTGTACCTCCTTCAATATTAATAACACAATTAATATACACTAAATAAATAATATCTCAAAATATACAATCACTGTAAAAATGTACCCTATATTGTCTACTTAATGTACTTACATGAAATATTATTGCATTCTGTGTAGCGCGGTGAAACAACAGATTAGGACGTTCATACACTGTTGTAGGTGATAAAATCAGTTACCTTTCCTGCTGCTGGATCAGCCAACCTCTGCATGGCAGCAGAGAGGAAAAGGCGAAGCGAGAGGTTCCACTCTCGCCAAAATCTGTCCAAAAATAAGTCCAATGCGTTTCTATGGGTTTATTTTGGACCTAAGCTTGTCGGCTGCCTTCCCGGATTTGGGACAACGACTACCATTGTTAGGGCGGAGACATGAGCATTTCGTCATTATATACCGATCTCTGGTGGCAGTAATGAGGTTGATTTGGTACATGCGCACTTGCTCAAAAACAATACTTAGATTCTTTCCATACAAGGCATTTTTTCGGTTGCATGTCACTTTTTATTTAGACCTTTCTTGGAAGTACATACTGGCCGGGACGGCAGTAATGACGATAGTTGCTCAGTAAAACTCCTTTCTTTGGTTTAATTTAAAGGGATACTTCTGGATTTTGGCAACGAAGCCCCTTTATCTACTTCCCCAGAGTCAGATTAACTAATGGATGCCATTTTTATGTCTCTGCATCCATCCATTATGAAGGAAGGTAGTTTCACGAGCCAATACTAACTAGCGTAAGCTTAATGACTGGAAGTCTATGGTATCTACTAGCATGCTAGCAGTTACCAAAGACTTCCAGTCATTGCGCTAAAGCTAGTTAGTATTGGCTCGTGAAACTACCTTCCTTCATAATGGATGGATGCAGAGACATAAAAATGGCATCCATTAGTTCATCTGACTCTGGGGAAGTAGATAAAGGGGCTTCATTGCCAAAATCCAGAAGTATCCCTTTAAATGTGAAAATATTCCTTCAAACTGCACGCAGACATAAAATGGTATCCACGAGTTCATCTGACTCTGGGAAAGTAGATAAAGGGCTTCATTGCCAAAATCCTGAAGTATCCCTTTAAGCTTGAAAAGCTGGTGAATGGCAAGTTCAATGGCTGCTTCCTAAGCTTAAAGGAGAATGTCTCCTGTAAACCCAGATTTTGGTTCATTGCACCCCACTGGTTCTTGGGAGCAGGTGGGTGGTGGTGGAGGGTGGGTGTTTCCATGGACAGTAACCAATTGTGGGAACAGTTTCCCAACCTGAGTGTATGGTATCAATTATGTCAGCACTAGACGCTGATAAGTGATCAAACAAACAACCATACATAGGCCTACCAGATAATTTTGTATATGTAGTGTATGTATGTGGACCCCCCTTCAAATGAGTGGATTCGGCTATTTCAGCCACACCCGTTGCTGACAGGTGTATAAAATCGAGCACACTGCCATGCAATCTCCATAGACAAACATTGGAGTAGGATGGCCTTATTGAAGAGCTCAGTGATTTTCAACGTGGCACCGTCATAGGATGCCACCTTTCCAACAAGTCAGTTTGTGAAATTTCTGCCCTGCTAGAGCTGCCCCGGTCAACTGTAAGTGCTGTTATTGTGAAGTGGAAACGTCTAGGAGCAACAATGGCTCAGCCGTGTAGTGGTAGGCCACACAAGCTCACAGAACGGGACCGCTGAGTGCTGAAGCGCATAGCGCGTAAAAATCATCTTTCCTCTGTTGCAACTCTCACTACCGAGTTCCAAACTGCCTCTGGAAGCAACGTCAGCACAAGAACTGTTCGTTGGGAGCTGCATGAAATGGGTTTCCATGGCCGAGCAGCCGCACACAAGCCTAAGATCACAATGCGCAATGCCAAGCGTCGGCTGGAGTGGTGTAAATCTCGCCGCCATTGGAGCAGTGGAAACACGTTCACTATCTGGCAGTCCGACGGATGAATCTGGGTTTGGCGGATGCCAGGAGAACGCTACCTGCCCGAATGCATAGTGCCAACTGTAAAGTTTGGTGGAGGAGGGATAATGATCTGGGGCTGTTTTTCATGGTTCATTCTAGACGATTCTGTGCTTCCACCTTTGTGGCAACAGTTTGGGGAAGACCCTTTCCTGTTTCAGTATAACAATGCCCCCATGCACAAAGTGAGGTCCATACAGAAATGGTTTGTCGAGATTGGTGTGGAAGAACTTGACTGGCCTGCACTGAGCCCTGATCTCAACCCCATCGAATACCTTTGGGATGAATTGGAACGCAGACTGCAAGCCAGGCCTAATCGCCCAACATCTGTGCCCGACCTCACTAACGCTCTTGTGGCTGAACGGAAGCAAGTCCCTGCAGCAATGTTCCATCATCTAGTGGAAAGCCTTCCCAGAAGAGTGGAGGCTGTTATAGCAGCAAAGGGGGGACAAACTCCATATTAATGCCCATGATTTTGGAATGAGATGTTCGACGAGCAGGTGTCCACATACTTTTGGTCATGTAGTGTAAGTACCAGAACAAGATCAGTATATGTAATTCAATAGTCAATTTGCATCTCTTCCACTGATTTGAACAGAGGACTTTGACTGCCGGGCTAATGAATACTGGAATAAATTCTACACCATCCATGAGAACCGCTTCTTCAAAGACCGCCACTGGCTCTTCACAGAGTTCCCCGAGCTGGCCCCACAGTGTCGCCTCAACCTGGAATCCTGTATTGGGGACCATAGAGCTGAGGACAGTGAACCACATGGTCTCGATCAGAGTCAGGGCCAGAGCAGTGAAGTCACCCCTTTGGCCCCTGGAGATGGTGACTTCCCTGGATCCAGTGCCATGTATCGCATACTGGAGGTGAGGACATATTGTATTGTATCATAGTATGACTGCAGTATCTGTTAGCTTGAGTGTCAGTTTGATTGTGTTATTATGCCAACTCATTGTCAGTCATTGTAATGTCAAACATGTTTGTTGTGAGAATGAGCAATAGAGTTGGCAAGAGCACAAACAGATCTGGGACCAGCTAAGTAAATGTGACCCTCAGGCATAAAGTAGGCTAACCTATGTCCTTGTTTGATTCAATAGGTTGGCTGTGGTGTTGGCAACACCGTCTTTCCCATTCTGAAGACCAACAAGTGAGTGGTGGTTGGGACCATGTGTATGGGGCAGTCCCATTATGCAGGATGCAGCCTGTTCAGTTTGACTTTGTATACTAGCTACTACCCTCTTCGTACGCACATGCTGTATATCTGCTATTCAGATCTCAATATGTTTTAGATGCAACCCTCTTAGCACCTCCATGTTCCCTGACCCTGTCTTCTTTGTGTGTGACAGTGACCCTGGGCTCTTTGTCTACTGCTGTGATTTCTCCAGCACCGCTGTGGAGCTGGTCAAGGTGAGAAGGAGAAATGCTTGATAGATGATGTCATTAGTTGGCTGATAAATAGATTCATGAATCTTGTCCCTTTCACCACCAGGCTAATTCAGAGTATGACCCCGGGCGTTGCTATGCCTTTGTTCATGACCTGGGTGATGAGGGAGCTATTTACCCTGTCCCAGACGCCAGCCTAGACGTTATAGTGCTCATCTTCGTGCTCTCAGCCCTGCATCCTGACAAGTAAGCCGCCCCTGTGTGATGTTTGAGTGTGGCAACAAGCAAGTGTGGGTACGTGTATGTGTGCTTGCTTGGGTGTGTGTGATAGGGAAAATTTAAGTGCAATCAAATTCACATGTCTTTCTTTTTCTCTGTCAGGATGCAGGCCTCCATCAGCAGACTGGCTCGGCTGCTGAAGCCTGGAGGAGTGCTACTGCTCAGGGACTATGGACGCTATGACATGGCACAGCTACGCTTCAAGAAAGGTTAGTTACCATAGGCACTCATGCGTGGGACTGTGTGTGATCCAATCAAATTGTATTGGTCACATACACATATTTAGCAGATGTTATTGTGGGTGTAGCGAAATGCTTGTAAATTGTGATTAGCAAGATGTACATGTGTTTGGGAAAATCTATTGAATTATTGAATGTGTTCCTTTTTCAGGAAGGTGTTTGTCAGATAACTTTTATGTCCGGGGTGATGGAACACAAGTCTATTTCTTCACTCAAGGTAATAAATCAATCAAATCAAAAGGCTAGTATGTACTGCTACCCCCCCCCCCCCCCGCTTACCCCAACCCAAACCCCAACCCAAAAACAAAAACAAACAAAAAAAACATTGTAAAGTGGTGATCCCACTGGCTATAAGGTGAATGCACCTATTTGTAAGTCGCTCTGGATAAGAGCGTCTGCTAAATGACGTAAATGTAATGTAAATGTGATTTGCAAGTCAGTTTTGTTTTTGTTTTTTCCTTCTAAACGTTTTTGTTTTTTTGTGTATAATATCTCCATGACATCCCTCTCCAGATGAGCTACATGACTACTTCAGTGAAGCGGGTCTGGAGAAGGTCCAGAACATGGTGGACCGGCGGCTGCAGGTGAACAGAGGCAAGCAGCTGACCATGTACCGTGTCTGGATCCAATGCAAGTACCGCAAGCCTCATACCCAACCAACAGAGACACAGGATTGAGCCAGGAGCAGCAGAGAGAATACTGCGGCTTATGTCTGAACTAGTGTCTGAGGTAGAAGTGGGACTGCAACCCCTAGGAGGGGTGGATAGAATTGGGATACCTCCATGAGACCATTGTGATGATGGACACCATGGAGATGGATTGAGGGGTGATGTGTGCAAAGCATTAGGCATGTTTTGCTATTGGGTTCCTTCAGCCATTTGTCTACACAGCTCTGGGTTCCCCCAGGTGCCTTTTGATAATGTATCTCTGACTGAGAGGGTGACATGACTCAGAAACGGCATATAGAGAAGTCTGGTGAGCTCATGAAACCTGAACAAAGGGCTGGAAACCCAATATACTAATGTTTACATTCAACAGACTGTTTACCATAATCCATTATTTTAGATAAATTGTGCTGTATGATTTAAAAAATATTTTACATTCACAAAATGATTAAAAAACAATGTGTAAACCCATCATTGTCACATGATTCCTTTCAGATAATTGACTTCACATATCAAAAGATGATTGCATTTACAGTCACCAATTGTGCAAGTTCTCCCACTTAAAATGATGAGAGGCCTGTAATTTTCATCATAGGTACACGTCAACTATGACAGACAAATTGAGAAAAAAAATTCCAGAAAATCACATTGAAGGATTTGTAATGAATTTATTTGCAAATTATGGTGGAAAATAAGTATTTGGTCACCTACAAACAAGCAAGATTTCTGGCTCTCACAGACCTGTAACTTCTTCTTTAAGAGGCTCCTCTGTCCTCCACACGTTACCTGTATTAATGGCACCTGTTTGAACTTGTTATCAGTATAAAAGACACCTGTTCACAACCTCAAACAGTCACACTCCAAACTCCACTATGGCCAAGACCAAAGAGCTGTCAAAGGACACCAGAAACAAAATTGTAGACCTGCGCCAGGCTGGGAAGACTGAATCTGCAATAGGTAAGCAGCTTGGTTTGAAGAAATCAACTGTGGGAGCAATTATTAGGAAATGTAAGACATACAAGACCACTGATAATCTCCCTTGTTTTTCTGCAAAGGGACCAGGACGACTGATCCGTGTAAAGGAAAGAATGAATGGGGCCATGTATCGTGACATTTTGAGTGAAAACCTCCTTCCATCAGCAAGGGCATTGAAGATGAAACGTGGCTGGGTCTTTCAGCATGACAATGATCCCAAACACACCGCCCGGGCAACGAAGGAGTGGCTTCGTAAGAAGCATTTCAAGGTCCTGGAGTGGCCTAGCCAGTCTCCAGATCTCAACCCCATAGAAAATCTTTGGAGGGAGTTGAAAGTCCGTGTTGCCCAGTGACAGCCCCAAAACATCACTGCTCTAGAGGAGATCTTCATGGAGGAATGGGCCAAAATACCAGCAACAGTGTGTGAAAACCTTGTGAAGACTTACAGAAAACGTTTGACCTGTGTCATTGCCAACAAAGGGTATATAACAAAGTATTGAGAAACTTTTGTTATTGACCAAATACTTATTTTCCACCATAATTTGCAAATAAATGCATTAAAAATCCTACAATGTGATTTTCTGGAGATTTTTTTTTCTCATTTTGTCTGTCATAGTTACAGGCCTCTCATCTTTTTAAGTGGGAGAACTTGCACAATTGGTGGCTGACTAAATACTTTTTTTCCCCACTGTATGTCTCCCTGAACTGAAACGTTATGGTCAGTTTTAGATTGCATGTAGCTAGTTTGTAAATCGACTTCAATTGGTCTAGACAGTAGGTTTGGCGGCAGGCGTGGTTTGAACAATCTCACGAGATTAAAGGAGATTTACCGATTATTGTTTACATTACAAAAAAAATGAGAAACCGAACCGAATCTATCCGGATTCAACTGAAATGATCGGAACAACGCAACTTCCGTAACAGATTGTTAGCTAGGGCGAGGAAGGTGAAGCCGAACACTAACTTTGTTCTGATTGAGCACAGAATTAGACCGAACATATCAGATCGGAGGACAAAATTATAACACAAAATACCCACATTGTTGGATCTATGCGCGATGAAAAGGCAAAGTGATGGCCATTGTTCGGGATAAAATACCCCGAAAGAGGCATGGTACGGCCCTTGAAGAAAGGAATGTGAACCTGGGGATACCCGTGTAGGGAGTGCAGAAAGGCGGGTTCGGGATACCCCAGGATTTCTAGGCCGAGAAGGGAATTATCAGTCGTTATTGGGGGGCCAAGCAGACGCTCGTCTCCTGACTGGAACAAATCAACACCGAAGAACGGGGATTTGGACGAGGCCTCGTTTGGCAGTGTCGAGGTAGGGAGACAAGAATATTGGACAAATAAAGATTGGACCCGTGGAAAATATAATTACAACAGGTAACCTTGGTCGAGTTGTATTGTTCATGTTTTACTTCTAACATAAAACTTTGGGTTGGGTCAGAATAATATTCCTGAAAAACAGCAGTTTTCATTTAGCTAACGTTAGCTAGCTAGCTAACGTTACATGTTAGTCGAACATTTGCCATATCGCTATCCATCACCCTTAGCCAAGTAGTTAGCTAACTAGCTATACATTCCTCTCTTAAATTGGCCATTTTTCAAGTAGGTATATTTAGGAAATATAACATATATTGCTTTTTAGTTACCTAGCAGACGTATTCGCCAACGAAGTGACCAACTTGCTAGTTACTAGTTGCACCAGGTGGCTAACGTCTGACGTTAGTTAGGTACTGTAGTTTAACTAGTTAGCTAACACGCCTTTAGCTACAAAAACATGGACGTTTGGAATGCCATCACCAACAAGGCAGCCATACCCATAGACTAGCCAAGGGGGACCTGGATTATTGACACGTCAACTAATGTAATGAACACATGATCATGAGTCATGACCATATCTATCATGTTACTCTCATTGTTAGTATTTTGTCCCCTGCAAGTGGTTGATGGCAAGCTGCCTGTAATATTTGACCAGCTAGTTAGTTAGCTAGCAAGTTCATTTGATATAACATTAACAAGATGGTTGGTCGCTGGCCTGACCCTTCTTGCCAAAACTGTCTGCCTTGTCACCTAGCTAGTTAGCTATGTGGCAAAATGACCCAATCAGATTCACTAATCTTATCACTATACTGTAATCAGTTTTCAAACCATATTTGCTGAAATGTCCCATGTCAGCACTAGAGTATGCATAGCTCTTGCCTGTTTAGTCTTTGCTTGATTTGGTATTGTTGATCAAGTTCTGTTGGAATCAGTGGTGGTAACTTTAGATTTTTAAACAAAAAACAGGTGTGTCCGAGGTTATCCATGAGTCACAGTTTCTAAGAATTTATAGTTGCATGCATCAACACATTCATCTAGACGCAACCCTGAACTGGTTGTGTTACTAAATCATGAAGCTGTTGGCAGATGACTTCCAACCCCTTTTATTCTTACTCTGTGTGATGTGCTTGTCTGTGCTATGGAAAGTGAACAGATGTGATATCAAATTGTGTGGATTTTGCTCATTGTCCCTGCAGCCATGATGGAAGAACTGCACAGCCTGGACCCGCGGCGCCAGGAGCTGCTGGAGGCTCGCTTCACTGGGGTCGGCGTGGCTAAGGTCTGTGTTACTACACTATATCATTGGTGATGAGAGAGGCCTATATAGGGTCCTGCTCCTTTCCCGCTCCACCCTTTCCCCTAATGTAGGACTGACAGAACGGGATCTTAGTATTGCACATTTATTTTAGGACCATATCTATCTTTCTTTGTCTCTCTCTCACCCCTTCTCTTTGTTTCTCCCTTTCTTTGTTTGATTCTCTATTTCTGGTTGAGCTTGGCCAGGGACAGGCTAGCCCCCTCCGCCTCTCTCTGGAGAATGTAGAGCTGTGTGTCTGTGTTTGTTGGCTGGTGTGATATGGTATCCTGTCCTCCTGGCTCATGATGTGGCGGCTGCATATGCAAGTGCCGAGGGCTGCCAAGAAGGGAACGGGCAGGAGGGGGAAGTGGGGCAGGGAAGGGCAGGAATGCCAGTCACCCTCACGCGTAGAAACCCTGGCCAGATGTTATGGCAGTAGCGCTCTGGCTTTTGATTAGAGGTCCTGCCTGGTGGTGCTGAGGTAGACTCCATCTTAGAGAGCTGCCTTTGTGGAAAGTGAACCGGAGCCCAGAGAGCGATTCAAAGCCAGGACTGGGCTCTATGCCAGCCATAGGCAGAACTGAGCCCAGAGCATGGTGCTGTCGCAGAGAAAATGGCGGCTCCCGCTAAGGCATCACACCACGGCCGCCCCGTCTGACCAGGGTCCGTCTGACAGAGTTGCAGTGTGTGGAAAGACTGGGAGAGAAAGAAAGGAAGTATTAGCCTAGAGAGAAATGAGAGACATATAGCCTGCCCTGGTGTTGGAGGTCTGAAAGCCCCAGGATATGGTGGGGGCAGCTCAGCCTGTGTCTCTCGACCTTGAACAGCCCTGTAGCTCTGCTCCCTATCAGACATCCTGAGCTGCCTTATAAGCGTTGTGGCTGCGGCATAAATCGGTCTGGAATTGGCGGCAGAGAGAAATTTGCTGTTTTTCAGCTAATTTCCTGCAATTCTATGCATTTTTCCATGGCGCTGAGAGCATTTTGCAGAGGGAAAGCTAATTTCCTGCAATTCTAAGCATTTCTGTGTTTTTATGCTTAAACATTATAACATAACCAATGGGGACCCCGATCGGTGTCCCTGGGCATGTACCCTGCGTGCCCCGTCAGTAATACAGCCATTCCAAAAATACTCCTAAAATCAATGGTTTTGAATTTTTGATTCTCCCTGACTGTCTAGCTAGCTTTTATTTTGGTTATTTCTAGTTCTCAAAGATTATATAGGTCAATTATATTATATCTGTCAGGGGTTAGCCATTGAAGTTTACACTGAAAGCATTTTAACATCCTAAAAATGTATTTACAGGGAAACACTCAAAGCCCTCAATACCCTATCTGAGTAGTAGGATTTTCTAATTATTTGAACAAGGCTGGAGAGAATGAAGATGAAATAATGAAAGGTGAGCATGAGGGAGAAAAAGATTGAGAGAGAGACCTACTCCCACCTGCATTAGTTATGTCTGATGTTCAGCAATTTCAGGTTCAATTTAGTTCCAGGGAGCAGCATTATGTGCCCAGAATGACTAAGTATGTTTCTCTGATATGGCAGAGCCTGGTGAATTCAAAAGTGAGCAGTGAGTCATTTGAGTGACAGGCATCACCTAGGGAACAGACATTTAGAATTGTTAGGGTAGGTACAATGTGAAGACTAATGGTGTTGATATTAGCTCAACCTTATTCCTCTCTGACTCTCTTCTGCTCTCTCTTTCTCTCACAAACAATCACTCACCTTATCTGTTCACCAGACAGTAGCCATGGGGAGAAACAGTCAGTCAAATGAAAACAGAAAGCACAAGCCCCCATCCCTCCCTTCCACACACCTGGTTTAACTGTGAATTAAGTTTAGTCCCTTCCTGCCCTTGGCATATCCTTCCACTCTTTGTCTGATGTGTAATTGTGTGGGTTTGTTTGTTTGTTTGTTTTTGAACAGGGTTCAGGCCACAATGAGTCATCCAATCAGAGCCTGTGCAGCGTGGGCTCTCTCAGTGACAAAGAGCTGGAGGTCAGCGTCCCACAGCTGTGACGCCATACATCTTTTCACTCTTGTTAGATGATATTTTATACATCATCCACTGTCATAAAGTACAATGTGTTTCTCCTACTCTTTTTCCAGACCCCAGAGAAAAAGCCTAACGACCAGAGAACGAGGAAGAGGAAAGCAGAACCGTATGACGGCAGCCAAGGTGAGGTGTCGCTCCCTTCCTCCATGATCTCTCTCATCCACCTCAGTCGTGCCTTGCCGGCAGCCATTTTGTGTCAGAGTTGATCAACGGCCCACAGATTTTCTGCCTTTTTTTCTCTTCTCCAGGGAAAGGAGGAGCAAGAGGACAGAAAATTAGTGATTATTTTGAGGTGAGTGTGCTCACCTATTGTCAAAACGCATCCATAGCATAGCCTACATAATGTAGCTTTGAATTCCTACTCTTTTCTTCTGACCTTTCCATTCAATCTCTGTCAGTTTGCGGGTGGTAGCGGACCTGGTACCAGTCCTGCCAGGAGTCTCCCTCCAGTTGTCCGCTCCTCCCCACAACATCACTCCCTCTCCAACCCCCCAGGCACGGTGAGCATGCTCCCTCACTTCTCCCTCCTCCCTTTTCACCGTACCTTTTTTCTCCCCCCAGTTCCTAACGAACCTATCACGTCCTTCAAACTGACCTGAATGCAAAGCAGAATGTTACTGTGGTCCATGACATGATGTTAGTGGTATGTCTTTGTATCCCAGATGCAGCAGGGCAGCCCGTCCTCTATGGGTTCAGCCAACACAGAGCACTCAACCTGTTCCCTAAAGCCTGTCTCCCTCTACATGAACCACAAAGCCACACAGGTAGCTGTTACCTTACACCATCTGTACACATACACACACAGCACTGGTGATGTCTGTAATAACTCCTGTATGATATGACGTCTCCTTGTTTCTAATGACTGTTTGACTCCATCCCTATCTTCATCTCTCTTTCTCGTCCTCCTGTTCTCCTCCTGCAGTCTGACCTGACGGTAGAGAAGCTAACTGCTATGGAGAACAACAAGAACTCTGACCTGGAGAAGAAGGAGGGGAGGATAGATGACTTACTGCGGGTGGGTACACATCTGCTATCAATGCGCCTTTGTTTTCCATTCTTTCTTCTAATGGAATAACATGTTCTTGGCCTCGTGATAAGACAGCATTATGATCCAGATATGGAAACAGATCTCCTCAGAAACTACCAACTAACCAATCTTTAAAACAGCTTTGTTTAATTAGAAGAACAATTAATTAATGTGATTTTGACTCGTGCTGTGTTCTGTTTCAGGCTAACTGTGACCTTCGACGGCAGTTGGATGAGCAGCAGAGGATGCTGGAGCGGTACAAAGAACGCTTGAACAAATGTGTGACCATGAGCAAGAAGCTGCTGATCGAGAAAGTGAGTTCTCCCTCTGTCCCTACCACAGGCTTGGGAGTCTAGAATACCTTAACCCATGTCTTTTGTCTTGACCAAGGACTAGCTTTCCCCAGGTATAATGTGTGTGTTCGCTCCCCCCAGTCGAAGCAGGAGAAGATGGCGTGTCGCGACAAGAGCATGCAGGACCGTCTTCGTCTGGGTCACTTCACCACCGTCCGACATGGTGCCTCATTCACAGAACAGTGGACCGACGGATATGCCTTTCAGAACCTTATCAAGTAAGGGCCACTCAAAAGCCTCTCTCACTCTGCATCTCATCCTCTCCTCCTTCATACTCCTCCTCTCTACCCTCCTCTGTTGTTTTAATCTCACTCTGTCTGTCTCTCTCTGTCTCTCTCACACATATCGGCACTAGAGGGAAAGATAGATTAGCTCAGCCTTACCAGCACTGACCATCCCCGTCACCTGTCTGTCTTGTCTCTAGGCAACAGGAGAGGATTAACTCCCAGCGAGAGGACATAGAGAGACAGAGGAAGGCTCTGGCCAAGAGGAAACCACCCTCCATGGCCCAGACCCCTCCCCCTAGCCTGGAGCAGAACAAACGCAAGAGCAAGGCCAACGGAGCTGAGAGCGACGCGTACGTACCTCGCCTCTTCCCCTCTCTGTTAAAATGCATACATTTTCCCAGGTTTGGTTGTGTATGATGGTGAGTTTCTTCTTCTTACAGGTTATCACAGGCGGAGTATCACGAGCAAGAGGAGATTTTCAAACTAAGACTGGGCCATCTCAAGAAGGTAGGGTGCTGTTTACATGCAGTGTGTGTATATAGTTTGTGTACTGTTGATCTGTTGGTTCCTGTAAAAGCAGCTAATATGCTTGCTGTGTATTGCAGGAGGAGGCAGAGATCCAGGCTGAGTTGGAGAGGTTGGAGCGCGTACGGAACCTGCACATCCGCGAGCTCAAGAGGATCCACAACGAGGACAACTCCACGTACGTGCTCTCTACCAGTGTTACTGTGTTCTCTTATTTGTGTGGGCTCTCTGTTTGACTTTTAAGCCAAATATGTCTGATTTCCACAACAGGTTCAAAGACCACCCTACGTTGAACGACCGGTACCTACTACTCTACTTACTAGGCCGAGGGGGCTTCAGTGAAGTTTACAAGGTGAGAGCACTCTGCCCGCTCATCAACAGTCATTGAAACTGACCTTTTGTCATCATGGTCAAAAGCATAGTTGTTAACCTATTGAACTAAGTACAGCGACTACATAGTCTACCACCCCGTGTAGCTCAGTTGGTAGAGCATGGCGCTTGCAACACCAGGGTTGTGGGTTCGATTCCCACGGGGGGCCAGTATGAAAATGTATGCACTCACTAACTGTAAGTCGCTCTGGATAAGAGCGTCTGCTAAATGACTAAACTGTAAAAATGGATTTCATATTGGTGCCAGGTTTCTCTCAGATATGATAAAGAATAATGGATGTGATGTTAGAATTATTTATTTGGAATTTATATTGATGTCATGTCTCTATCACTTTTGAAGGCCTTTGATCTAACGGAGCAGAGATACGTCGCAGTCAAAATCCACCAGTTGAACAAGAACTGGAGGGAGGAGAAGAAGGAAAATTACCACAAGTGAGTGTTGTCTATTTCTTATCATAGATGCTTTTGGATAAGACAGACAAACCTTTTTCTCAGAGTGATATGGGTAATAAAAGCACTTTGGTTTTAATATTGGAGTTAAAAGGGGTCTCTCTCTGTTTCAGACACGCATGTCGAGAGTATAGAATCCATAAGGAGCTGGACCACCCGCGGATAGTCAAACTCTACGATTACTTTTCACTCGACACAGACTCGTAAGTCCCCCCTCTCAAACAGCAGCAGAACATATCCAACAAATCTTTGGAATAGAACATGAGTTTCTTTGGGGGTTTCTAATTCTGGTGTTAATTTTTCTTTCAACTCTGTATCCTACTGTTTTGAAACAGTACCTCACAGTTGGTTCCTTTGTCTCTCGTTGTGGAACAGGCTCTGTATGGTTCTAAACTAAAACAGTACCACACAGCCGATTCAACTTTCGCTCTCGTTGTTCTGTGCGGTTCTAGAGTTAAACAGTGCCACATCCTTTCTCTCTCTCGTTACGTCACAGGGTCTGTATGGTTCAAGATTAAACAATACCTCATCGTGGGTTCCTCTGTCTCGTTGTGTTCCAGGTTCTGTACGGTTCTAGAGTACTGTGAGGGGAACGACCTGGACTTCTACCTGAAGCAGCACAAGCTGATGTCGGAGAAGGAGGGCCGCTCCATCATCATGCAGATGGTCAACGCCCTCAAGTACCTCAACGAGATCCGCCCGCCCATCATCCACTACGACCTCAAACCTGGTGGGTACACACAGCAACGGATGGCACGGACGCTAGCATGGCAGCAGTTACACTGCAATAGTATTACCAGGTCAACACTTACACTGATGCGATCACTTACATGTAAAGCAAGTTGAAAAGATGACGGCAGACTAAAACGAGACAAGATAACTGAGTGAAAGGTCTCTTTTGACTCTTAAGGCTGGTTTACTGTTGATCTATCGACATCGACAGTCTGTAGACTGTTGTCGCAGTGACATCATGAACATTCTATCGTTGTCTGACATCAAACTTGTCGTTGTTGTTATGATATGCATGACAGCAGGGCATTCTTTACCATGACAACACACTACTTTTCATCTGTCTGCGACAAGGAAACTGACAGTCTCAACGGCGGTCTACAGACATTCCACCGGAGTATAAATTAAATGTTGTTTTGACCAGCGAAACTTGTCGCATTCTAATTGTCTACAGACATGTCGTTAGACCAAGTATAAACCAGCCTTGACAGTATATTACTGAGATGTCCATGTTCATTATGAACTTTTGTCTTGACCTCTGATTTGTTGTTTCCTCAGGCAACATCCTCCTGGTGAATGGCACAGCCTGTGGGGAGATCAAGATCACTGACTTCGGCCTGTCCAAGATCATGGACGATGACAGCTACAACTCAGTGGATGGGATGGAGCTGACCTCGCAGGGTGCAGGGACCTACTGGTGAGGCTCCACACAAAATATAACAATATAAAATTGGGATCTTGTTTGGATGATCATTCATATGTTATTATTGTGGAAAGAATGTTGCTCTAATAAATAATCTTCCCTTGCAGGTACCTTCCCCCAGAATGCTTTGTGGTGGGTAAAGAGCCTCCTAAAATCTCCAACAAGGTGGACGTGTGGTCAGTGGGAGTCATCTTCTACCAGGCTCTGTATGGACGCAAGGTAATGCAAGCAAGCACGCACACACTACTAACTACTCTCAGAATTGTATTCATACTCTTTATATTCCATTAAGAGATGAGGATGTTTTGTGTCGCTAACTTTTACCCTTTGCTGTTTCTTTGTCGTTCCCCCCAGCCCTTTGGCCATAACCAGTCTCAACAGGACATCCTACAGGAGAACACCATACTGAAGGCAACAGAGGTGCAGTTTCCCCCCAAACCAGTGGTCACTCCAGAAGCGAAGGTACTACTTGTTTTCGGTCTGTCCCTCACCTTTCTCTGTCATTTGTTAGTCCATTCCTTAAATTCTTCCTCACCTGATGTTGTTTCTCCATCCCTCTTTCACTTGTCTGTTACTTTACACATTCATCTCTTTCTGCTCTGTACACAATCTCTTCCCCAGTCACACCCTCTCTAAATGTCCCCTCCTTATCTCTCTCCAGGCCTTTATAAGGCGCTGTCTGGTCTACCGGAAGGAGGACCGTATCGATGTGCTCCAGCTAGCCAGTGACCCCTTCCTCATGCCTCACATCCGCAAGTCTGTGGCCACGTCCGGGGCCTCTGGCACGGCTATACCCTCCACCTCCAGCTCCTCCAATAGCAGCGCCTCAAACTGAGCCGTCACTATCGATCTCACTAGGAACTGACTGACTGACCTGAGTGGAAGGTGGAGGTGGGGGTGGCTGCCTGATTCAGCCCCCTCACCACTTACCATCCTGCTATGTCCCGCCATGGGCTCAGCACCCCAGGGAAACCTCTTGGGTGCAGGCAGGGGGAGCGTGAGAAATCATGGGTGAAGGGGAGGGGAGGTAATCTGTGTGTTCCAACTGCAACCTGGAGCCCTCCATCCCCCATGTCCACCCACCCAGCTTCCCTGTCTCTCCCTCCCCTGAGGGGTGGTGTTGTTCTGGGGGTCAAAGCCCTAGGGTCCCCCTACAGTGAGGAGGGGGACATGGCACTGAGTGGAGGAGAAGTGGGGAAATTCAACAATTTTAGATGAGAAGGAAAAGAGAAGAATGGAACAGAGCTGCATTAGCTTTGAGAAATGGAAGGGACTGTTGGAAGACTCTGTTTTCCATATCATATACACACACACCATGCCTCGGAGTCATCCCAGATAGCCTGGGTTCTCCTTTGATAAATGCTTTGGTTGTCATCCAACCCCCTCCCCTGACTGACAGTACCAGTCTAGCCTGCCTTTAGACTGGACCTGAAGAAGACCTATGGCGTTCATTCATTTAAGCTGCTCTCCTGGGTCCAGGTAGTTTTTGAAGGGAGGCATGCGCTCCCCTCACTCCCCCGTGTCTGTTTTAAATCCTATGACCAAAGCTTAAGACTTCCAGATGGTGGCGCTGTTCCGCTGCAGTTTTTATATTGGTTCTAGTTGTGTTACATGATATATGAAGTGGAAAAGTAATGAATGGTCCCTTTTTTTAAGAATTGTTACTTTTATGTTTACCCAATTTTAAGGAAAACAGCAATTGGTGGTTTTTAAATTTTTCTTTTTTTTGTCCTATTCTCTTTTCAGTAATTGCCCTCTTCATGAAAACACATATTTATTTAGGTCTGTTTTAATGAATCTTTTGCCAATAAAATGCAAGGGACTGGTTTATCCATTGTACTGTACTGTTGGGAGGAGATTGGGCCTTAGCAGAGAATTGCATAAACCATTAAATACTATTGGTTAAACTGTGATCTGAGTGTTTTTGGTGGTTTCGGTTGGGTTGTTTCACTCTCAGAAGGCTGGGCAAGCTAATTTCTCTATATCAACAACACATAAAAGCACACTTATCTATAATGTTTATTATCTATAACCTGGAAATTCCAGGGGGAAAAGGAAACCGGAAAGACCCAGGAACAGCTGGAGGTCTGTGGAGGAAGAGCTAAAAGAATCAAGAACATCTTTGAAAGAAGTGGTGGAAACCAAACCTGATGGAGAAAGTTTGAATGACGTATAGATGGGTTGGCTGACTGTCACGAATGATATGCGCGCATTGATGAGGCAGAAGGTCATGTGGTGGTATAATTCAGATAGGTAACAACCATGACAAGAAGCTACAATGTGGGGAATTGTAGGTGGCTCGTTATACCTTGTTATTGATACCATGTCTTGTGTTGAGGTGATGTTATGTCTATGCTAATATGACTCAAATTTGCTAGCTAGCGAACCAACAACTGTAATTATGTATTTGAGAGACAAGTGGTCCTTGTGCAAATGTATTTATGTTTTCAATAAACATTTTGGGGCTAAATATAGTTTACATGTCAACAATTTAAGCGAACCCTGTCTGTTTTGCGCCATAGTTGCGCATGTGTTGGTTTTGTTACTAAACAACCAACCCGTCTATGCTCCACAGGGGTTCTCAAAGTGGGGTACACGGACCCCCAGGTACTGCAGGGGGTCTGCGGTCAGATCTCAAAATCTCTCTATATATATATATATATACACTACCCGTCTAAAGTTTGGACACACCTACTCATTCAAGGGTTTTTCTTTATTGTTACTCTTTTTTACATCGTAGAATAATAGTGAAGACCTCAAAACAATGAAATAACACATATGGAATCATGTAGTAACCAAAAAAGTGTTAAACAAATCAAAATATATTATATGTGAGATTCTTCAAATAGCCACCCTTTGCCTTGATGACAGCTTTGCACACTCTTGGCATTCTCTCAACCAGTTTCATGAGGTAATCAGCTGGAATGCATTTCAATTAACAGGTGTGCCTTCTTAAAAGTTAATTTCCTTCTTAATGTGTTTGAGCCAATCCGTTGAGTTGTGACAAGGTAGGAGGGTATACAGAAGATAGCCCTATTTGGTAAAAGACCAAGTCCATATTATGGCAAGAACAGCTCAAATAAGCAAAGAGAAAGGACAGTCCATCATTACTTTAAGACATGAAGGTCAGTCAATACGGAAAATTTGCAGTCGCAAAAACCATCCAGCGCTATGATGAAACTGCCTCTCATGAGGACCGCCACAGGAATGGAAGACCCAGAGTTACCAGCCTCAGAAATTGCAGCCCAGATAAATGCTTCACGGAGTTCAAGTAACAGACACATCTCAACATCAACTGTTCAGAGGGGACCGTGTGAATCAGGCCTTCATGGTCGAATTGCTGCAAAGAAACCACTACTAAAGGACACCAATAAGAAGAAGAGACCTGCTTGGGCCAAGAAACACGAGCAATGGACATTAGACCGGTGGAAATGTGTCCTTTGGTCTGGAGTCCAAATTTGAGATTCTTGGTTCCAACCACCGTGTCTTTGTGAGACGTGGTGTGGGTGAACGGATGATCTCCGCATGCGTAGTTCATCGTAAAGCATGGAGGAGGAGGTGTTATGGTGTGGGGGTGCTTTGCTGGTGACACTGTCTGTGATTTATTTAGAATTCAAGGCACACTTAACCAGCATGGCTACCACAGCATTCTGCAGCGATACGCCATCCCATCTGGTTTGGGCTTAGTGGGACTATCATTTGACAAGCACTGCCAAAGTCATAGTAGAACTCCTTGTATGCCTTTTTTTTATTTTTTTTATCTCACTCCAGTTGTGTTCTGATTATGAGGGGGTCCCTGATGAATTAGCTATTACAAAAGGGGTCCCGGGCCAATTGGGCTCACACAGTGCTGAATTGATGCCATAAGCGATAACCACTCTACCATTGAACCACACTGGTATAAAAATGTATGGGTAGGCCAGAGAAATAGAATCTCAATCTAGTTCTGTGGGTAGGCTACTACCTCATATGGTGCACGTTGTTTAAAATGTGTGATCAACTGAGACAGTGTGGTTGTGTGCAGTTCACAGTGCACTGTCAAAGCCACAGATCAATAATGATCAGTGAAGAGGGAGACAGCCAGAGCCCTGAGCCATGCATACTGATGCTGATCCAACAATGACTGTGTTCGCAAGAGAGAGGATGAAGCTAACACATCGGTGACACCAGTTTTACACTGTTAGGCTACATGTGCAGATTGTGCACACACACAGACACATTATCCACTGATGTAAGTTTGTTCTGATTGATGCATCATTCTTGCATTTTCCAACAGATTGACATTGGATTGTTTTCACTCTCCCCCCACAACCACCACTACCAATCCCCAACACAGAATCCTTCCAGGGGTGAATAAAGATTATTCCATGTGAAACTATGTGCACCATGGCAGATGAATTGATTCACGAGGAAGGGACAGCAATACAGTGATAATTAAATAATCCATAATACTTTCTTCACAACAAGGGAGGCCAAGAAGCCATCACTTTAGTATTTTTTAGACATATTTATGAGTTGGCTTTGAGTCTCTGGTTTTGGAATGGGTAGTAAAACGTCTTTCTTGCTGCAATCTCACTTGGATGATCTGTGTGCATAACTGTCACCCCACTGCTCGTTTGGGGAATGATTTTATGAGCCAGAATCTAGTAAAATAAAACATTTCTGTTTTCTATCTCTACTGTAGTTTTAAATAAGCTAAATCAAGTGTCTATAGGTGTAAAAAAAAATCAAAAATCCAATTATTTGACACTTATAAATATAAATTCGATTCCAGGCTGAATCACAATCCGGCAGTGATTGGGGTAGGGCGGCGCACAATTGGCCCAGCGTCTTCCGGGTTTGGCCGATGTATGCCGTCATTGTAAATAAGAATTTGTTCTTAACTGACGTGCCAAGTCAAATAAAGGTTAAATAAATAAAAAATAAAATGTCAATACTTTTATAGGCTAGCTAGGCTACATATTTGCAGAATGTAGCGTATCACAAGCAGAGATGTTGTTACAATGTAACAGCGGGGCGGATCTCAATAAGATGCAAGGTAACAATGTTGCAAGTCTGAGATACAATGTTGCAAATCTGCAATACAGTGTATCTAGTTTGTGGACAACTGTGTGTGTGTATGTGAGGCGGGCTAAAGTATTGTGACGCTAACGCAGCGCGTCTGCTCCCTTCACTTTTAACAACGCACTAAAAAGAGACATAGCCCACTCTACTCCTCCTTTCCTCTGCACCCCATCATACTCACCACCACTCTACCCATCCGTCCCGAAAGGAAAGCTCTCCATAAATTGCTCCGATTTACAATTTTCTGAGCAATAGTGGGCATGCCACGCTGCGACCGAAACAAGGTTTCGAGGAGAACATGGAAAAATTGCCTTCACTTTTACAAATGCACTTTATATTTATTCATCTTTAGTCTGGAACTAAACAGCAGCGTTTCAGGTAAGAACAATATGTTGCTCTCGAATGCTCCTCGGCGTTTCATTCAAGAAAAACTCTGGAGACCGAGAGTCGGAGACTCTCTTTGTTATTGCATATCTGAATATCCATCTAAAGCTTATTTAGCGTTTTTTTTTTGGTAGGAGACCTGGTGGGATTTTACGGGTACTTTTATCCGAACTTCACTGATGCATTGGAATGCCACGCAAGTCCGAATTCTGAGTCGAACCAGATGTGTGTGTGTGGGGGGGGGGGGGGGGGGGGGGGGGGGGGGGGGGGGGGTCTGGCCTTATTTTATGTGTTTTGTCGTTTAGAAACTTGAAGTGAAGTGCTAATATACCTATAGATACTTCCTTTGGCATCTTCTTTGAACACTTAAAATGGTAGATGCACATCCGTGTCCTTCCTTTGTATGCTGGTATGGGACTGACGCGTTGCATATATTTGGCACCCCACGGGCAGATGTGACCTTTACATCCTGTTATACAATTAAGCTGTGCAGCGAAGTTCATCTCTTCTCGGTCCTCTTCTAGTCTTTCTCACTACCTTGTAGGCCTATTGCCACGACAGTGACCTCTCGCTTTTGAACACTGACCTGCCTTACTCCTAGGCATGCTATGGGTCGATTTGTAGAGATTAATTTTCTCTAAGAGTAAGACTTAACTTTAGGTAAAAAATAAAAAAACATGAATGAAGATGGATAACACTAGGCTATAAAAGTCATACCACACTGTCACTCTGAAATGAAGACAAAGTAGGCCCTGTAAACAACTTGATGGTGTTGACAACTTTGGAGGTGGGCCTAACTAAAAACTGTTAAAAAATAAATAAATAAAATTCTCAATTCCTCCCAAGTGGAAACAGAACTTAAACTTACTTGGTCGGCCCTATATCACAAATCCAGAGTCAATTCAACAGGATGTATTCAGTTCTTTGATATGGAGGTCTACACCAGAATATACATTGTGTGTTATGGGTTCAGAATTAGTTCAGTTAGTACAAGGGAGGGAAAACAGTATCAACAAAGTTGAGTATGATGATTCAAAGTAATCAAGTCAATAAGACGATCATATACTGTAATTCACCAGGTGTTGTTATTACTGTGTTATTACAGTCATTGGTTTATTTTTCTGTGTGATTTCTCTGAAAGCACAGTTGCGTTGGCTCTCATCTCATCTCAACACAATGTCATGTAGGGCCAGATACATTGTTGTGTCTAACTGTTACACCTGCAGTGCAGATGGTACTGGGTGTGTTTGCCAACTGCAAAGGCAAGACAGATATGTCATGCACATGCTTTCATTCTTGTTTTGCAAAATTGTTATTTCTTCTGTCTTTTAGATGCTTATTCACACACTGAGGTCTACCTGAGTGTACAGGTCTCAGAACAATCCCTCTCTCCTGGAGCTCAGTCTTACCTTTAGGATCATGGAGGAATTTCAGGCACCACCCCTGTGGGGCTGTTCAGGCCAACAGCCTGAACAGCCCCTAACAAATCCCACTCAACCACCCACTAAAGGGCTGATCAGCCCATAACAAATCCCACCCACTCACTGCTGCTTTTCTTCCCACTGAGATGTTTCCTGGGAGGGGGCCTACCACCGCTCCAACAGTTTCAGAGGCTGGCCTGGACTGTCATTAAACAGAACAGAAACAAACACACTAACAGGCTGGAATTTCCTGTCTGTTTGTTGGTTGCTGTTTTTACTGGACAATGAGATGTTCTGTTTTATAACGCTTACCCGTAAAACAAGCTTCCCCTTTCATTTCAAACATCTGTCAAAATAGGAAAAAGGTTCAAGGACAATCCTTTGGTCCCACCACCACACCTTCATCTAGACCTGAGGGGCTTTAACCCGATACCAGAATCTATCATTATTGTTGTTCTTATCTAATAACATCCACCCAAACTTTTACTCCACTTTGCTTCAACATCTATGAGAGTAAAATATTTGTTATCTCAAATTTCTATCACAATATGGTTCCCAGTCCCAGTGCCTCCATCTCTACAGTACGTCTCACCTCAGTGTGGATCAAGTCAGTCACCTTGGTTTCATGTACCTCAGCCTCCACTGGCCCCCCTGGACCTCTGTGCCCTGCTCACACCCCCACGCCCAGAGAGACCTCATCAACACACTGGCCAGAGTTGGAGGAGAGGAAGGTGGTTCTGGGAACATCAGCCTCTCTGTTCTTGGCTCTGCGTGTTCCGTTGTTCTTGGCTGGAGGTTTAAGCCCCTCTCTTTTGCAGCAGGAAACTGGTGTAGGTCTGAGTAGAGTGACGGCACAGGGAGTGGGAGAGAGGGGGAGCAGGGATCAGGCTAGAGGGGTGTTGTTCTGGTTGTACTTTCCCAAGGAAGAACTTTCGGTGAGATTCTGTGAAGCTGTTGATCTGGGCTTTACTGTATTCACATCAAACATTTTCAAATCCACTTCTGGAATTACATTTGAAGTTTGTCTTTTACTTAGCAGAGCCGTCTGAGGTTGAAACCACACTTCAAACACAGCTGCAGGGCCCAGGTGGGAACACTGAGAAGTTAGAGCTTCGACTTCACAACAACAGTAAGATCAGTACCCAGCTTGTTGGGTACTAGTCATGGCCTGCATGAAATGAGTCATTAAGTTCAATGAAGGTCAAATAGGTTGTCCCAGTTTTACTGCCTTGGTATCAACAGAAAAACAACATGTATTTTCTTGTGGCTCTGATTCTCATCATGTGTCACGAGAATTTTACTATCTCAATTGTTGAACTCAACTATCACTCAAGCTTTGAACAATTCCCAGAGGCTGTAAGGCTCTGGTTAATTTAATGAATTAAACAAAGTCCCATTTCTGCAATGAATCAGTAGTTTATTCATGAGAGCTCTGGCCTCTCAAGATCAGAGCCCATCCTTTATACACATACGTCAGACGAAAATCCCACCCGCTTTAGGCGGGCTGTATTTTTCCAATGTACACATATTTGTTATTCAATTCTGCAACATGTTTCATAATCTTCTCCAAGCCTAACAGTTTCTCCCCTCCCTGAGTTGGAAGGCCTATTTCCTATTGGTTTCACAGTTGTCACAAGTTGTCTGTCAACAGGTCTCCTTGTCCTTTGTTGTCTGACCTAACTCCTACTCATATTTCTAAATAGTAACACAATGTCATAATCTTAATTTGTCCTACGCACACACATTACTAGATTATAGTCTTATTATTCTAATACATTTCACACCGTTATATAGTTCCAGGGTGGAATATTTTAGTCATTACAAATTCTTCTATCAATCCACCCTTTGACTAAATATTACACACACACTTAAAATACATTGTTATAAAATGAAACACACAACAAAGCATACAACTTGTTTTGCATATAAAATGAATCACTCGTATGAATCACACAATAAAAATACAATTTGTCTTGCAGGGGGATACAGATATTGCAAGTTAACACAAGACTCATTCACCACATTCCCAAGTGGCTTGAACAGTTTAACCATGCAGGAATAACCTGACGGAGAGTTAAAGCCCGTCAAGGGGAACGGAGTAGTGGTTAACCTAGGTTTAGCTGTTCCACAGGCGTAACAGTCCTCCTTGGACATACAGTGGGGAAAAAAAGTATTTAGTCAGCCACCAATTGTGCAAGTTCTCCCACTTAAAAAGATGAGAGAGGCCTGTAATTTTCATCATAGGTACACGTCAATTATGACAGACAAAATGAGAAAAATAAATCCAGAAAATCACATTGTAGGATTTTTAATGAATTTATTTGCAAATTATGGTGGAAAATAAGTATTTGGTCAATAACAAAAGTTTCTCAATACTTTGTTATATACCCTTTGTTGGCAATGACACAGGTCAAACTTTTTCTGTAAGTCTTCACAAGGTTTTCACACACTGTTGCTGGTATTTTGGCCCATTCCTCCATGCAGATCTCCTCTAGAGCAGTGATGTTTTGGGGCTGTCGCTGGGCAACACGGACTTTCAACTCCCTCCAAAGATTTTCTATGGGGTTGAGATCTGGAGACTGGCTAGGCCACTCCAGGACCTTGAAATGCTTCTTACGAAGCCACTCCTTCGTTGCCCGGGCGGTGTGTTTGGGATCATTGTCATGCTGAAAGACCCAGCCACGTTTCATCTTCAATGCCCTTGCTGATGGAAGGAGGTTTTCACTCAAAATCTCACGATACATTGCGCCATTCATTCTTTCCTTTACACGGATCAGTCGTCCTGGTCCCTTTGCAGAAAAACAGCCCCAAAGCATGATGTTTCCACCCCCATGCTTCACAGTAGGTATGGTGTTCTTTGGATGCAACTCAGCATTCTTTGTCCTCCAAACACGACGAGTTGAGTTTTTACCAAAATGTTCTATTTTGGTTTCATCTGACCATATGACATTCTCCCAATCCTCTTCTGGATCATCCAAATGCACTCTAGCAAACTTCAGACGGGCCTGGACATGTACTGGCTTAAGCAGGGGGACACGTCTCGCACTGCAGGATTTGTTTCCCTGGCGGCGTAGTGTGTTACTGATGGTAGGCTTTGTTACTTTGGTCCCAGCTCTCTGCAGGTCATTCACTTGGTCCCCCCGTGTGGTTCTGGGATTTTTGCTCACCGTTCTTGTGATCATTTTGAGATCTTGCGTGGAGCCCCAGATCGAGGGAGATTATCAGTGGTCTTGTATGTCTTCCATTTCCTAATAATTGCTCCCACAGTTGATTTCTTCAAACCAAGCTGCTGGTCTGTGAGAGCCAGAAATCTTGCTTGTTTTTAGGTGACCAAATACTTATTTTCCACCATAATTTGCAAATAAATTCATTAAAAATCCTACAATGTGATTTTCTGGATTTTTTTTCCTCAATTTGTCTGTCATAGTTGACGTGTACCTATGATGAAAATTACAGGCCTCTCTCATCTTTTTAAGTGGGAGAACTTGCACAATTGGTGGCTGACTAAATACTTTTTTTCACCACTGTAGTTCTTGCCGTATACTGTATCCATTCCAACCATAGGTTCGGATCCCGGAACCCAGTCTCCACTTCCACTACTTCTTTTAGGTCCTTGGTATCCGCTACCTGTATCATTCCCATTGAATTGAATGGTTCAGTTTCCTGACCTTTAGAGGAATTCACTATTGTATTATCAGTGGTGAGGTTGTATTGTGATTTGACCTGCTGCTTTTTTACCCATAGGGGCACTACGGTATCCACTCCATTTTGGTCAAACCCTACATACCATAGAGCGAAATCCATCGGCTGTACCTTTTTTATGTTTATTCGTACTTTTAAACAATATTTCTGTTGTCTGGGGTTACACTCTTTTCCCCTGATGTATTTTCCTGCCTTCACAACCGTCCATCTGGACCCGTAACGGGTGTTCAAATTTACATATCCTGCAGGCTCTGTATGAGCCACAACATGATTCCAGGAGTTACATGGTGACATACAGACATATCGTCCCCAGGTTGCGAGACTCTTAGCCTGCCAATTGGCCAGATTCACCACTTGGTCTATAAAGAACTTGAATGAGATGTCCTTTCCTACAGTCACTAGTACCTCCCCTTTCCCTACGTCAAGCTGTCTTTTCTGCCTGCTTTTGCTTTCCCCGGGCATTACCTTCCTAAATTGAGTTAGGTTAACTACTACTTCTGGCGGGTCAGGAGGGTTTGGGTGTGCCAGGAATATGGCTCCCACAAGCAGACAGCCACCTACCATCAGGAGACATGTAAATCCCACCCTCGTCCTGCAAACATGTCAGACGCCAGAGGCCAACCCATTGCTTTAACTTCTATCGAACTCACACAGGGATGATCAGACAGGGTAAGGGAATCTTTGTTAAGGAGCCAACCCCCGAGCCATAGTGATGATCGGTTCTCTCTCCTAACTCTGTGTTTGTTCGTCAGGTGTGGCTGGGTTTACCTTTTTGCAGTGTGTGACATGCACCCAGGTGGATCTTTCCGCAATTCTTACAGCAAAGGCCGTCACCAACAGGACCTGATATGGACATTCCCAACGGGGCTGCTTCCAGTCTTTCTTCTTTAAGGATTAGATCCACACCCAGTCACCTGGTTGGATAGAGTTGGTTGGATAGAGTGGGTTACCTTCTCCTTTAGTTTTCCTGTTGGGCACAAAACCTTAACACAAGACCACGGGTGTGGTTAATAAACAACCTTCTCATGTGTCCGGCTAGGGTGATCTCAGTTTCTATCTCTGCCTGCTATGGTCCTCCTAACTCGGGCATTCTGTATGGTCTTCCAAATACTTTCTCGAATGGGGACAGTCCATTTTTATCTGGGGTTATCCTTATAGTCATTAATACTATTGGTAAGCATTGTACCCTATTTCTACCAGTGCTCATGTGTGTTTTCCTTAACCCCTCTCTAATCGTACCGTTCATATTAGTATTTTATTTCTAGACTGTACCTAAATAAAAGAAAATACAATTTATTTAAGTATTTAGTCCTCTCCTCCATCTAGTTATCTTTAATCCTACCGTCTACTATCATCCCCCCTGTTGATACGTGGCGTTACCCATGTGTCAATATTGACCCACTTAATCGAACCAGGACTCCACGTTTCATTAAATTCACTAAACCTATAAAATAACAAACCCATAACCACTTTCCGGTAATCTACTGATTTAAACCTGTTGCATTAATTTATTAAAATATAAACCTATTGTTTAATAAATCCATAACCTACGAAAAATGTTTACTACGCCATCAGCCTAATAGTAAAAACGATCTCCCATTGTTCAACGTGAACTGTCTGCATAACTCACTGTTGTATAAACAAACTATTCAGACATCCGCTTCACATTACCCTCTGCTTCATTTACTAAATCCTGGCATTAGTAAATTCTATTAGTAAATTCTATCCACACACCACCAAAAACGAATAACATATTTGCATACACATAACTAGAAAGCATGAATTTAATACCATTCTTGCTTAAACAATGCAAATCAACATTTCTCATCACCCAATTTCTATTACCTTTTTTTTTACACTGGAAACCCTCTACAATCTCTATCCTCTACCGCTGTCTTTCCATCTATCATTACTTTAACAGATAACCAATTATTTTGAAGTTATAGTAAAAACAAACAAAACCTATATTCCCAGAGATGCAACGTAAACTACTGTGTTATACTATCCTCCATGTGTTGCTAGGACAATCTCTTTCGTATAAACTTATCAATTAGACCAGTCAGTCAATGTTATCTTACATACTCTGCTTCCTTCCAACACTGCTTCATTATTCTTAGTGTTTGTTTAATAATCCTATTATTCTCTGAGTTCCCTTACTTCACTTCCCATGAATATAAGACATTCGCTTCTCTAGGCGTCGTAAACTACATCCTATTACCTCTGTTATCAACTAAAATTATAGCCACCTCTTATTAAACCCCCAATCCGTCATTATTTAGAATACAGCAGATCTAGGCAACTGTCCTTTCTAAGTAGGCTACAAGTAACACCGAACACATGCCTTAGTTGACCAGCATATATTGAATTTATACCATAGTATTAATATCCAATGTAGTGATTGACATTAAGCCACCATTCTCAATCGTTTATATAGCAAACCATTAGGCAATGAAAGTGGCAAATAAATCCCACTACTATCACAATTACAATGGTTTGTCGTCTTACCATCTGATACAAAATGATGTTCCTTTACTTACTACACCTAAGCTCCACTCTGATAATTATTAATGGAAACCCTAAATTGGCTTTGTACAATATTATAATTTACGTCTTTAACCACATCACTTATGGTCAGTTTATTCCTTAATCCTTATCTCTATTACATTATCCAAATATGGTACAAACTTAGAAAACCCATATTAATGATGTCCCACCCATGACATTATGTCAACGTTTGGGTGAGCAAGTTAATATATAATTATTATTCCAATTATTATTTTATGAAATCTCTAGTCTCTCATTCAACACATCCCCTTCATCAACAATACTCCCAGTAGAACCAACAAAGAACAGACTGTGATTTCCAGGACACTGCCCCTTTGTTCTGGCCTCCTATCTCCCCGAGAGTTGCCATGAGATACTCAACTCCCTTCAGGTCTTTCTTACTCCTCTTTTCTCTCCCGTTCTGCTCGTGGTGAACAGCATACCTTTTAACCTCAATCAATGTTGCTGTGCCCCAGCCAATCAGGGTCTCTTTTATTTTTTGGGAGAAATGTCAGGCCTCATTGTTGATGATACGGCTTTTTGCACTCATGGATTTTAGAAAAATCAGCATGTAGTAATAGGTAGTAATAGGTAGTAATCTCTAAGATTGTTACATAGTTGATTAAGTTTATCTCGATACTCTCCGTCTACGGCCCACTGTAAAATAACTCTGTCCCCCCTTCCTGGGGTCCAGTCTCCCTTCACAGCTGCCCAATCCTTTTCTACCATTATCTGTCTCACTGCCCTTTCCAATTCCCCCGTGTTTAACTTAAAACTTGCAGTGAGCCCTTCCATATCTCTCCTGAATCCCTCTATTCCTGTTTTTGGGTCCTGTTCTCGGACCACATCTCTCTGGGTCCATGCCCTGTATACATCTAAGGTTGCCGGGGCTCCCTCAGCCCCTGCCAATGGATTGGGTAAGGCAATCATTGGGTACTGGCCCCCTCCTACTCCCTCATCTCTCTTTCGAGCCTCAGAGAGCCACACCCTAGCAGTATCTAGTCCTTCCACTCACTCTCTTTCTGCTCTCCCCTTATTTACTTTGTGCATCTGTTTTACCATGGATTCGAGTTTGTCTGCGTCCAGACGCCCCTCGAACCCATACCTCTCCCTCCATCTATTTCCATAGTGGAGATTCCTCTTGTCCTTAGACTCCATATATCTCTCATCACCGGTTAACTCCGGTACCTCCTTTGAGGATTTACTTCCCATGGTAACTAAACTCCTCTGCTATTCTCTACTGAGTATTTTGTACAATTATTTTATGCCTATTAACAAATTACTAGGTCTCACTAATTGGGTATGTTTTAATAGTCTCCTTACAAACACCTAAGTATGTTTTATACACTCCTCTCCTTCCCTTGGAATGTTATTCTTAGATGTGACTTTTGAGCAAATATTAGGTCTCACACGTATACAACCTTACATGATTATTGGTTAACACTATTGGTAACCCGGAGTTTGTAAGGCTCCAGTTTCATGAAACGGATAGAGTTACGGCAAATCTACAGTTGTTTATGACTTTTGACTTTATTAATATTCAATTTCTCACACATGCTATTTTAATTCCTGTGTTGATATTTATTGACAGTCCCGGACCGTCTCACATATTCGAATTAGATAACTTATACTTAGAATCTCTAATAATTATTTTATCACTTTTAATTAATTATTAGGTGTCAAATGATTTTATGACTTTTAATGAATTATTAGGTGTCAAATTATTTTACGACTTTTAATGAATTATACGTTTTATTGTATATTCCTTCCTTGAAACAATTAATTATCGCGACTTTCGATGGATCATTAGGTCTCACACGTATACGGACTTAAGTAATCTTCTTGATCACTTTTGCTGTTCCTTATGACTTTTGACTTGTTTAATGTATCTATCTCACACTGTAATAATTATTTCCCTTCCTGTTAATATTTTAAAGACTGTATCCATGGACAGTCTAAATATCAACTAGTTTATATTGGGATTGGCCTGTACCTTGAGTCAATTGCGGACCCACTTCCTTCCTTCCTATGCTTACCACTCCGGCAAGTCTTGCTGGATTTCGGTAATAACTCTCTGCCTTATACAAGAATTACAGCAAAATTTCTATGTTCTTGCAAGTTCAGATCATTCTCCCCCAAAATCCATGAATAAAGACTACTGACCTTATCCTTGCAGCTGGGATTTAAATTTTGGTTGGATCTCGTCACCGTTTCTGTCATGTACCAGTTTGCCACCGGCCTGAAATAGACCCTCAATTTCAGAGGTCAGGTCTTTGTCTTACGGATCCTGGACCCACCCGTGCACGGTTTCGGGGTTCCCTGAAACGACAGAAAACGGGTGTTGAGATCCGGCTCGAGGACCAAGTTGTCACGAGAATTTTACTATCTCAATTGTTGAACTCAGCTATCACTCAAGCTTTGAACAATTCCCAGAGGTTGTAAGGCTCTGGTTAATTAATGAATTAAACAAAGTCCCATTTCTGCAATGAATCAGTATTTTATTAATGAGAGCTCTGGCCTTTATACACATACGTCAGACGAAAATCCCACCCCGCTTTAGGCGGGCTGTATTTTTCCACTGTACACATATTTGTTATCTCAATTCTGCAACATGTTTCATAGTCTTCTCCGAGCCTAACAGTTTCTCCCCTCCCTGAGTTGGGAGGCCTATTTCCTATTATTGGTTTCACAGTTGTCACAAGTTGTCTGTCGACAGTTCTCCTTCTCCTCTCCTTTGTTGACTGACCTAACTCCTACTTAAATTGCTAAATAGTAACACAATGTCATAATCTTAACTTGTCCTACGCACACACATTACTAGATTATAGTCTTATTATTCTAATACATTTCACACCGTTATATAGTTCCAGGGTGGAATATTTTAGTCATTACAAATTCTTCTATCATCATGACAAAAGACAAAATGACATCAGACTGCTTTTAATAACATTTACGTCTCCTAAAAACTCCTCTTACCACACTGTCGTGAGTGTTGCTAAGCCAAGTGTTACCATAACCAAAACCATCATTATTTAAGCCTAGTCAAGGAAATCACACACCACTGGAAGCAACACTGCTTACTTCAGAGCAAGATCTGTGCATCCGGCTTAAGTCAACGCTGTAGATGTCAAAAAATAATTCATTGTTCTGTACAGTGTTTTTACACATTTGGAGAAGGACAAAGTTGATCCTGTAATCTGCTCACAGCTGGGATGGATTGCCTGTCACGGCAGAGAAGAGCCCATTAAAAGAACAGATAGAAGGGTTGGATTTATCAGACCGGGGTAACTTGGAGCACTGCTAAATGTTTTGGCATATATCACAAGGTAAGAAAGATCCTTGAATTGAGAGGCATCACAGACTGAGAGACTTTGCTGAGCTGTCTGATCTACAGGGTCCATACTGTATGACATTAACAGGACTCAATCTGTCTTTGCTGTTGGAGAACTGTAGAGAATGCTTGAATAACTGTAGGAAGGTTATTGAATACATTACCTTTAATGAAAATGACAGACAATGAGTTCCCTGGAGAGAAATGAGTCCATGGAAAGGTTGTTCATTTCAGACTGTTATGGATTGTGTTACAATAATAATATAAACTCATGGAAAGGCAGACTTGTCAATGTTAAGACATTCAGTAGCTTTTTGTCTGTTGGAACCTGCCCCTCATTCTTTTACTTCAATGATCCAGGTGCTATCTAGAACCAAAAAGGGTTATTTGGCTGTCCCCATAGGAGAACCCTTTGAAGAACCCCTATTGGTTCCAGGTAGAACCCTTTTGGGTTCCATGTACATGGAACCCAAAAGGGTTCTACCTGGAACCAAAAAGGGTTCTCCTATGGTGACAACTGCAGAACCCTTTTGGAACCCTTTTTTCTAAGAGTGCAGAGTAAAGATTTTTCCAGAGGCGCATCATTACCTTGTGAGAAAAGGTATTTTGACTCCTGAATCTTTATTGCATCACAATTAGTGGACAGGAAACAGGCCTAACAACAGGGTGCTACAATGAGATGTCTGCAGCAGTCAGCGTCAGCTGGTAATTATATCTGATTACACTGTACAAAGCACTGCCAGTGGAGGCTCACACAGCTCTGTGGAATCACTCAGCCATTGTGTTTTGTAACTACAGCGTTTGCAGAGTCTGGAAGCCGACCAAGGCCACAAGCTGACTATTATTTCTCAACAACGTCACAAAAGAGGTTGAGTGAGGCTGAGAAAAACTACTGATTGAATGTCTGCATTTATAATGACTTTGTAGGAACTCTTTTATGGAGATTCTCCATTGTTTTAGTATTGTTAGTGCTGCAAGGGAGGTGTTGCTATTTCTGTGAGAGAGCTACAGTGGACTGATTAGATGACTTGAGGAGGGGGTTTAGTACTGCAGGCCAGGACCCCTATTCTGTGTGTGGACTAAAATACCAGAGCCATCTGATTCAGAGGGGTTGGGTTAAATGCAGAAGACACATTTCAGTTGTATGCATTCAGTTGTGCAACTGACTAGGTATCCCCCTTTCCCTATTTTCAGCCCAAAACCCAGTGATCTTCCCCACTTTCTGGCCCCTCAGAGGGCCCCGTGAAGGAGGAATGCTGACGGTCTCTCTCTCTATGTTTCTCTTCTCTGGACCCAGATTCACTGAGGAGGGCTTCTGTTTGTTTTGGGGTCATTCCTTTTTTCCCCTTGCTCTTTTTTAAACTTAACATCACAGCTGCACTCCTCCTCCTCTCTTTCTTCCTCTCTTTCTCTCCCTTTCCATCTCTCGCTCTCTCTTCCACCAGTGCACACACTTTTGAGTCGCCTGGCTTTAACCTCCCAATCCCCGTAACCCCCGTTGCAGGAGAAGAAAATAAAAGCTTAGAGAAGAAGTGGGGATGAGAGAGAACCCCACTGGGTTTTTGGGAAGGCTGTTGGGTTTTCTTCCCAACATTCCAGTCATAGTGGCTGGAGTCCAGCCAGTCTCTAGCTAGCTTAGAGTTAAATGTCTGACTCTCTCGCTACCTCCTCCTCTTATCAGTTCATACAGGGTCAGAGTGTATACAGTAAACTTACTCATGTATTACACAGAGCCTACATTAGAGACCCAATACGCATAGCAAAGTTGCACAGATTCACACTGACATATACATTACTGCATATGGATGAAATAAGACACAGTTCATGACATTTCATAGTACCTTTTTCGAGGATTAACTGTTGGGTCACTCGGTCTGGGTAAATTACTGACATAATTAAGTAAAGTAATGACATGTATATTATCTGATATCTGAACAGAAACATCTTCAAATATGAAACTTTATTATTATGCCAAGTGTTTCCTCAACCAGACATTTTCTCATGATAAAATTCCAAACCAGTCCCCCAAAACCCCAGACCGCTCAGTCCTCATTTAGTTCTTCAGCCAACCTTCCCTCACATCACATTCAGACCACAGACTCCCCGCGAGGAGAAAGGCCATTCCAGGTCTCACGTCTAAAATGGGGCAAATATCCCAGAATCTGACAGAGAAATAACAAATAAATAGACATTACCAACCTTGCATTAATAAACGTGTGAAAAAACATGTGCAACCACATTTCAATTTTCAAAGCAGCAGCCCCCTCCAATTAACACTTATCTAGACACATAACCTTGGTCAATGTCTGCTTAAGTTGAGGAGATATAACAGTGGGCTAGGTATCATTGTGAGAAAGCTAGCCTTTCAACAGCACCACAACCAGCTGAAAGATGCTTGCTCTAACAAAGCAGGACATCCATTAACAGTGATATTGATCATGTTCCTGCTCTCTCCACATTAGCAGCTAAAGATGGAATAATTTCTGAACAGTGTTATTGACTCCCCCCCCCTCTCTCTCGCTTGCCCCTCTCTCTCTCTCTCTCTCTCTCTCTCTCTCTCTCTCTCTCTCTCTCTCTCTCTCTCTCTCTCTCTCTCTCTCTCTCTCTCTCTCTCTCTCTCTCTCTCTCTCTATCTCTATCTCTATCTCTATCTCTCTCTCTATCTATGTGTCTCTCTTTCTCTCTCTCCACAGAGCCAGTGAATGGTGATGTGTTTGTATTCTTCCACGAGGGGGCTCAGGGCTGTCTAGGGGTGCAGGGTCACTCCCTGTCCCTGTCCGAGTCCTGCGAGGATGACGCCCAGAAGTGGAAGTGGGTGACCCGGGGCCGGCTCTTCAACCTAGGCTCCTCTCTGTGCCTGGGCCTGACCACGGGCAACTACAGCTCCAGGGAGGATGCCTCACCGCTGGGCGTCTACCCCTGTGACAGAGAGCCTCCCCTGGTCCGCTGGACCTGGTACTGTGCCCAGGTGTTGGAGAACCTCAACCTGTACCTGCCGTCCCCCTCGCACCCTGTTAACCCCTCCGCTAACTCCTCAGTGAAGGCCTCGGATGTAAAGCCCCCACATGAGGGGCTCAAATGGAGGCTCTTTGGGGACGATCAGGACCTTTGTTCTAGGACCTATCGTGGTAAGTAGAAGAGGTTCTGCTGCTGGTTGACAAAGTCATTCTAGTGCATTACAAAGGGCTGATGACGCTATTTTGTACTCTTGATTTTGTTTTGGTATCGAGCAACAAGACCTCAGTTCGACTCTGGTAGGCCAGGGGAGTCAGCCATTTTGAAATAGAAAATTCAAACCAGAATATGGTTTGTCTCTATTTCTCCCACCAGTGCTTGTGAATGAAAAGCTGAGGCAGGGTTAGTCAGCTGTGTTGAACTGTTGAGGAGGGTACAGCTGTATCTGTTCAGATGCATGCTGCAATTTATTGCCCTGGGCCTCTCTGTATGACTGACTGGCAGCCCGCCAGCTAGATAGCTAAGGAAAGCCCTCTCTCTCTGTGTTTGTAAACTCAAGACGTGAACAGTGGAATGCCCTTGCCCTCACATAGCCTACGGTAGAGCTGGGATGATCAACCGGAAATTATTGACACCGACCATACCTATCACTTATCGCAGGCATTTTGCTGATATCGTTCATTACGATAAGTAGCCTATACTAGAGAAATGTGAAGTTTGAAATTAAATAAGTATGTAAATATCGGTCATTGTTGATGGGACAATTGATGGCTATAACCATCAAACTAGTAGTAGAAGTTTAAAGGAAACGTTTAAAAAACTTGTTGCACATGAATGTTATAAACTATCGTTCTATTTATCGTTATCACATCAATTCAGGCAATTTATCACAATATGGATTTGTCCATATCACCCAGCTCTAGCCTACGGTATATTAGTGTTTATGTAGGACCTAGGAGTTGAAGCCCCTGGTTAGGGGTTATCAGTGTGGTTTTGAAGCAAAGCCTTGTTTCCACTGTTATTATTATTCATACAGATATCAAATGTCATAATTTAAGTGGCATTGACAGCCTTTCTGCTGGGCTTAGTCTGTGAAATAGTGTCTCTAGCCTGTCTGACTGCAATTAAAACCAGATCTCCTACAACTTAAGTCCAGAAAACGACTTCTTAACTTTCCTCCTCTATCTTTCCTCTCCTTCTTTTCCTTTCCTTTTTTTGTGGCACAGCAAAAGGCATTTGTAACTTTTAACTGCCATTCCTCACAACTTGCTTTTGTGAAGTCAACACGCTGCTGGATAAAGATAGCCACGGACATTAGTCACCCCGCCGTGTAGCTAGCAGGCTATCAGCTTGACACAAACCAGCCAGTGGTGGAGGAGAGAGGGAAATTAAGGAGGGAGGGAACTTTCTAGGCCTTTCCCCCCCTTTTAACACATATGCCCTACTTTCCATGGGCCTGGCTGGTTCTCTGTGTGTTTTGGTAACATTGCAGACACCCTTCCAGTTTCTCTCTTTACAGCTCTCTCTCTCTCTCTCTCTCTCTCTCTCTCGCTCCTCTCTCTCTCTCTCTCTCTCTCTCTCTCTCTCTCTCTCTCTCTCTCTCTCTATCTCTCTCTCTCTCTCTCTCTCTCTCTCTCTCTCTCTCTCTCTCTTTCCTTGCTCTATCTCTCTTTCCTCGCTCGCTCGCTCGCTCGCTCTCTTCCCTCTTCCCTCTTTCTCCCTTTCCCCCTTTAACCCACCCCCCTCTCTCTTTCTCCATCGTGAATTGGAGAGTTGATTTGAGTTTTTCCCCTGCTGCCCTTTCCTTCATACCCCGCTGTCCAGTGGAATGCAGAGGCTACCGTGGCAACCCCTGGGCATTTTGTCAAACTGTGAAGCTCAGGTTTCATTCAAAATAATGTTCATTCACCTCTCCAAGAATAATGGAGTTTAGTTTCTACATGGCAGTCTCATAATAGACTGCAAAAAGAACTAAAACAGCTGCTTATAAACTAAACTCATTATTATTTTATTATTTTAGAGAAAGTTTTTTGGAAAGAGTATCCTTTTTACCCCTGTCAATTGCTAGTGAAAATGAAAATGACCTTTTCTGGCATACTTTTTAGTTTGAGGCAGTAATTGAGTTTTTATAAAGCTTTGTCCTGATGTATTTATTTTTCTGTTGTAAATTGTTTGATTGTTTTTCCATTATCTGGTCTATTTTGGTTTATTGTTGACCTGATGGTCTTTCCCATACCTTTCCCTGGTCCAAAATAACACTTTGGCGTGTGTCATCATTTCCTGTAATATATCTTCTATTTATTTATCACGTTTAATTGCACATGTCTTTGAGTACACAGATTTGTTTGCTCAGTAAAAACTATCCACACAAATCAATTTGGGACAGAAAGTGACGCTTGTGAGTGCATACTGGGATTTGAAGTCTTTCCATCGTGTGCCTTGCAGAGATCTATACTATCCAGGGGAACTCTCGCGGTCTGCCCTGCTACCTGCCCTTCCTGTACGATGGCCAGTGGTTCCACAGCTGCACCAGTATTGGCAGAGAGGACGGTCACCTGTGGTGTGCCACCACCTACAACTACAGCAAGGACGAACGCTGGGGCTTCTGTCCTGTTAAGAGTGAGTCACTGTCTCACACAGCTATGTTCCTCTTCCTCTTCCACCCCCCCCCCCCCCCCCCCCCCCCCCCCAAACGCACCACAGACTCTTTCTATGTCTCCCTATGACTATTTCCCCTTGCAATTATATCTGTTTCTCCCTCCCTCCCCTCTCTCTCTCTCCCTCCCCTCTCTCTCCCTCCCTCTCTCCCTCTCACAGGCAATGACTGTGAGACGTTCTGGGACACAGACCCCCTGACAGACAGCTGCTACCAGTTCAACTTCCAGGCCACCCTGTCATGGAGCGAGGCTCGCATCAGCTGCCAACAACAGGGGGCAGACCTGCTCAGTATCACCAAGCTGCATGAACAGACCTACATCAATGGTAAGAGATCAGAGGAGATTCTGAAATCTAGTACTCCATGGTAGTACATGGGAAAGGTTTTCTTCCTTAATCTCAGTTTGATAGAAATGTATTTATAGGTCTGTTATGAACTGATGTTAAACATTATTGATAAACAACTATGTAGTAAGCGTTTATAAGCCATTTAAAAGCATACCTTAAAATCAAGTGTTACCCTCTCTTCCCGACTTACCTCTTCTCTAATAGTTTTAAAGTGGTAGAGTGTGATCTTGTCTTTGTTTATATGAGGACATCTTACGTTTTTAAGAGAAGTCTCTCCCTGATGCTGTAGGTTTGCTGACTGGTTACAGTGCTGCTCTGTGGATCGGACTGAATGACCTGGACATCAGCGGAGGCTGGCAGTGGGCTGACTCCTCCCCTCTCAAATACCTCAACTGGGAGAACGGTGAGAGAACACTGCCTTTAACCCAACCCAACCTCAACCATCCTCAACCATCTTTTTAACCCAACCCAACCTCATCCATCCTCAACCATCTTTCTAACCCAACCCAACTTCAACCATCCTTTTAAAAGCAGATTGACATTTATTGTCATGAATCTTGCCCTGGAGGCAGAACTGAGCGATCTCCGCTAGATGGGCCAGCTGAAAAGTCAAAATTGGCTATATCGTAAAAATGCATGAAAACAAAAATGAGCTTTTTGGTCTTAAGGTTAGGGTTAGGCATTAGGGTTAGCAGTGTGGTTAATGTTAGGGTCAGTGGCGGCTCCTGAAAAAATTCTCAGGGGGGGCAATTTTTCTGATGATTTAGGTGACCTACACACATTTTTAAAAAGATATGTCCAGCAACAACATGAAGACAGGGGCAGCATATAAGTCAATACCAGAAGCATTTATTGACTGATCTCAAAAGTGTTGGCTTACCAGGGTTGGTGGAGCCCTCAGTTTCATCTTTGCCTCGCAAAGCTAACTCAAACACTCCGCAAAACTTCACACACTGGATTAGCCGGCTGAGGATGTGGCGGTTCTTGCTAATGTCGTAGTAAATATATTTGTTATAGTGAATATGGAATATGATATGTTGAGTAAAATGTTGTGCTAAGATCTATTTAGGTCAGGAGCTGGTTATAAGTTCTGTTCCTATCCAATAACAATGGACAAAAGGGTCCTATCTTGTCAGCCTTGTCAGTTTCAGTTCTCCAGTAAACTTGTGATTATCAACACTAACCTCATCGTTGTGGCGGCGGACAGCTAGCCTGTATCCCTCATCCAGTTGAGTGGGAATGTTCACTCTCCCCAAAGCAGACAATCTCAAACAGCTATCCATGTGGGTCTTTGACAGCTCATGTTTCTTAATCTTTCCTGAAAGATGGTGCATGTCCGTTACACACCAGTCGCTGTCCAAGCGGTGCTGTCTGCCGTGCCGCCTTCAGGGTGAAAGAGTAAGCAGGGGGTAGCAGAAGACTGCATTAGCTACATCGCAGCCTGCTAGCCAGGTTTTTCGTTCGTACCAATTTTTGGAAAATCCTCGGGTGTAGGACTTCCCCCCTTTAGTAGAAACCTGTTGAATTATTAAATTTGGTCTGGGAGGTCCTAATTGTTTCGTTGCCAATTTATCTTCATTTGTTCGCCGACAAAAAGGAACTTCTTTCAAAGACACAATCGAGTTGCACTGAAGCCTAGCCATTTTGACAGTAATAGTGAATTGATTGACGCTGCTACCCGCTCTTTTCTTAGTTACGTTCATGGTTATGTTACGTATGACGAAAGCGCGTAAGTGCAAGCCCTCAGAAACCCATAGAGATTGTATTGAAAGCTCTGATATTTGAAAAAAATAGATTTTACATGGGAGTCTATGACAGACTTCTGGGCGATTTTCAACCTGACTGAAATCGCCCCAAAAGGGGGGGGGGGGCATTTGAAGCACGACTTTAGCCTGATTGGACATTTAGTGGCACTGTGGCAGATCAGACGTCTAGATTACAACACTGATAACTACTGTTGCCGTGATATAATTGATTAGAAAAAAAATCCCTTCCTTTTCCCGTTTGGCAGTGCGTCGCCCATATCGCCCTATTGAACACACCGCCCCTGGTTAGGGTTAATGTTATGGTTAGGTTTAAAATCAGATTGCATTACTTTGTGGCTATGCCAGCAAGTGACCACTCTGTAGAGCTGCCTCCAGGGCAAGATTCATGACAATAAATGCCGACCTGCTCCTTTTAACCCAACCCAACCACGTACATCCTCAACCAACCTTTTAACCTTATCCATCCTCAACCATCCTTTTAACCCAACCTCATCCATCCTCAACCATCCTTTTAACCCAACCCAACCTCTACCATCTGTTTACAACACTAATACCACAGACTACACAGAGAACTTCTAAGCTTTCTCTTCTTTCTATCTCACAATATTTATTCTATCTCCATCCCAGACCAGCCGAGCCATATGGAGGAGGAGAACTGTGCGGTGATCAGGACAGAGTCATCTGGCCGCTGGCAGAACAGAGACTGCTCTGTAGCCCTTCCCTACGTCTGTAAGAAGAGGCCCAATGCCACCCTGGACCCCTTCACCACCGGTAAGTCTGCCTAGTCACCGGTCGAGTCTCTAGACCTCCTTATCAAATCCTCCCTGCTAAAATGTTTACAGATGTAGGATCTTAATTTGATCACTCTTTTGTTGCTGAGAATCTTCCTGCAAATCAGGAAAGGCAAACTTGTAGTGTATTTGAGTTTTAAAAAGGCTTCTAATGTTTGTAATTTCCACTTTGAAATTTCAGACTTGATTTTCCCTTACGAAAAATGTATCAACCCCTACAAAAATGTCAGTTTGTTAAAATCCACATAATAAATCACATTTCCTGTTACCGCAGGATTATTTTCCTCCTGTACCAAACTGTCTCAAATTAAGATCCTACATCTGTAGCTTGTTGTTTCATGGATAGTTACATACACTGTATGTGAGTAGTTAGAGTCATAAAAAAATTATCACATATTTGTGTTACCATCGGTTATATGCTCTCTACTGTATTAACAAAGAGTTAACAAAGGGTATATTTCCCTTCTGTTTGATCTCTGTCTCTGCTCTGTGGGCTGCAGACTCGTGGGCGGATGATGAGAAGTATGAGTGTGATGTGGGCTGGCAGGCGTTCCAGGCAGGCTGCTACAGACTGACGTCAGAGAAGGTGGACTGGGACGCAGCTCAGAAAACCTGTCAGAAAATGGAGGCCAACCTGGTCAGCCTCCACACCCTGCCTGAACTAGAGTTCATCATCAACAACATCAAGAGAGGTACACAGATAATACAGCATTTCATCGAAAGGCACCTCAACCTGAAGAGAGGTACACAGATAATACAATACTGTACATGCCACTAAAAGAAGCTTCAACCTCAGTGTCAACAGTTTCTCTCTTAGGAGACCGTTTACTTGTTTCTTGTTTGTTTTTAAATATATGCACATATGTACAATTTGAAATAATAAATGAAATAATAAACTATATACAGTGCCTTCGGAAAGTATTCAGACCCCTTGACTTTTTCCACATTTTGATAGGATAAAGCCTTATTCTAAAATTTATTAAATCGTTTTTCTCCCCTCATCAATCTACACACAATACCCCATAATGACAAAGCAAAAACAGGTTTTTTAGAAATGTTTGCTAATTTATTACAAACACATTTACATAAGTATTCAGACCCTTTACTCAGTACTTTGTTGAAGCACCTTTGGCAGCAATTACAGCCTTGAGTCTTCTTCGGTATGACACTATAAGCTTGGCACACCTGTATTTGGGGAGTTTCTCCCATTCTTCTCTGCAGATCCTCTCAAGCTCTGTCAGGTTGGATGGGGAGCATTGCTGCACAGCTATTTTCAGGTCTCTCCAGAGATGTTCGATCGGGTTCAAATCCGGTCTCTGGCTGGGCGCTTAGGGTCGTTGTCCTGATGGAAGGTGAACTTTCCTCCCAGTCTGAGGTCCTGAGTTCTCTGGAGCAGGTTTTCATCAAGGATATCTCTGTACTTTGCTCTGTTCATCTTTGGCTCGATCCTGACTAGTCTCCCAGTCCCTGCCGCTGAAAAACATCCCCACAGCATGATGCTGCCACCACCATGTTTCACCATAGGGATGGTGCCAGGTTTCCTCCAGACGTGACACTTGGCATTCAGGCCAAAGAGTTCAATCTTGGTTTCATCAGACCAGAGAATCTTGTTTCTCAAGGTCTGAGAGTCTTTAGGTGCCTTTTGACAAACTCCAAGCGGGCTGTCGTACTTTTTACTGAGGAGTGGCTTCCGTCTGGCCACTCTATCATAAAGGCCTGATTGGTGGAGTGCTGCAGAGATGGTTGTCCTTCTGGAAGGTTCTCCCATCTCCACAGAGGAACTCTAGAGCTCTGTCAGTGACCATCGGGTTCTTGGTCACCTCCCTGACTAAGGTCCTTCTCCCCTGATTGCTCAGTTTGGCCAGGTGGCCAGATCTAGGAAGAGTCTTGGTGGTTCCAAACTGCTTCCATTTAAGAATGATGGAGGCCACTATGTTCTTGAGGATATTCAATGCTGCAGATTTTTTGGTACCCTTCCCCAGATCTGTGGCTCAACACAATCCTGTCTCGGAGTTCTACGGACAATTCCTTCGCCCTCATGGCTTGGTTTTTGCTCTGACATGCACTGTCAAATGTGAGACCTTATATAGACAGGTGTGTACCTTTCCAAATCATGTCCAATCAATTGAATTTATAACAGGTGGACTCCAATCAAGTTGTAAAAACATCTCAAGGATGATCAATGGAAACAGGATGCACATGAGCTCAATTTTGAGTCTCATAGCAAAGGGTCTGAATACATATGTACATAAGGTTTTTCCGTTTTTTATTTGTACTAAATTTTCAAGAATAAGGCTGTAACGTAACAAAATGTGGAAAAGGTCAAGGGGTCTGTATACTTTCCGAAGGCACTGTATGTATATACACTACCAGTCAAAAGTTTGGACACACCTACTCATTCAAGGGTTTTTCTTTATTTTTACCATTTTTTACATTGTAGAATAATAGTGAAGACATCAAAACTGTGGAATAACACATATGGAATCATGTAGTAACCAAAAAAGTGTTAAACAAATCAAAATACATTTTATATTTGAGATTCTTCAAATAGCCACCAGTTGCCTTGATGACAGCTTTGCACACACATGGAATTCTCTCAACCAGCTTCATGAGGTAGTCACCTGGAATGCATTTTAATTAACAGGTGTGCCTTCTTAAAAGTTAATTTGTGGAATTTCTTTCCTTCTTAATGCGTTTGAGCCAATCAGTTGTGTTGTGACAAGGTAGGGGGGTATACAGAAGATAGCCCTATTTGGTAAAAGACCAAGTTCATATTATGGCAAGAACAGCTCAAATAAGCAAAGAGAAACGACAGTCCATCATTACTTTAAGACATGAAGGTCAGTCAATACGGAACATTTCAAGAACTTTGAACATTTCTTCAAGTGCAGTCACAAAAACCATCAAGCAGTATGATGAAACTGGCTCTCATGAGGACCGCCACAGGAAGACCCAGAGTTACCTCTGCTGCAGAGGATAAGTTCATTAGAGTTACCAGCCTCAGAAATTGCAGCCCAAATAAATGCTTCACAGAGTTCAAGTAACAGACACATCTCAACATCAACTGTTCAGAGGGGACTGTGTGAATTAGGCCTTCATGGTAGAATTGCTGCAAAGAAACCACAACTAAAGGACACCAATAAGAAGAAGAGATTTGCTTGGGCCAAGAAACACGAGCAATGGACATTAGACCGGTGGAAATGTGTCCTTTGTCTGGAGTCCAAATTGGAGATTTTTGGTTCCAACCGCCGTGGCTTTGTGAGACACGGTGTGGGTGAACGGATGATCTCCGCATGTGTATTTCCCACCGTAAAGCATGGAGAAGGAGGTGTTATGGTGTGGGGGTGCTTTGCTGGTGAGACTGTCTGTGATTTATTTAGAATTCAAGACACAGTTAACCAGCATGGTTACCACAGCATTCTGCAGTGATATGCCATCCCATCTGGTTTTTGCTTAGTGGGACTATCATTTGTTTTTCAACAGGACAATGACCCAACACACCTCCAGGCTGTGTAAGGGCTATTTTACCAAGAAGGAGAGTGATGGAGTGCTGCATCAGATGACCTGGCTTCCACAATCCCCCGACCTCAACCCAATTGAGATGGTTTGGGATGAGTCGGACCGCAGAGTGAAGGAAAAGCAGCCAACAAGTGCTCAGCATATGTGGGAACTCTTCCAAGACTGTTGGAAAAGCATTCCAGGTGAAGCTGATTGAGAGAATGCCAAGAGTGTGCAAAGCTGTCATCAAGGCAAAGGGTGGCTATTTGGTTACTACATGATTCCATATGTGTTATTTCATAGTTTTGATGTCTTCACCATTATTCTACAATGTAGAAAATAATAAAAATAAAGAAAAACCCTGGAATGAGTAGGTGTGTCCAAACTTTTGACTGGTACTGTATATATATCTAATTGGAGACAGTTATTTACAACGTTTTGCACCACCACACTGTAAAGATAGGGTTTGGCATACTGTAGTTACACCCTACCTACACGCTTAGAAAAAAAGGTGCTATCTAGAACCTAAAAGGGTTCTTCAGCTGTCCTCATAGGAATAACCTTTGAAGAACCCTTTTTGGTTCCAGGTAGAAAGAACCCTTTTAGTTCCAAGTAAATCCCTTTTGGGTTCAAAGTAGAACCCTTTCCATGGAGGGCTCTACATGGAACCCAAAACGGTTGTACCTAGAACCAAAACGGATTCTCCTATGGGGACAGCTAAAGAACCCTTTTGGAACCCTTTTTTCTAAGAGTGTATAATATTCCAATCCACTCACTGCTTCTCCCATCTTGTTTCTGTCCTAATGTGATTGCTGTAGTGTCTCCTCCTCCCTGCTCTGTGATAGTTATCGTCATATCTCTGTGTGTCAGATGTGGAGGAGCTGTGGATTGGTCTCCATGACACGGCTATGCAGATGGACTTCCAGTGGACAGACCACACGCCCGTCATCTTCACTTACTGGCACCCCTTTGAGCCCAACAACTTCCAAAACACCCCAGAGGACTGTGTCACCATCTGGGGACCCGTGAGTGACCCTTGACCTTTGACCCCTACAGTCTGGACCCTTCGTCATCTCACAGCTGTCTGTTCTCACTGCCAGCAAGCCTCCCTCCAGAAAGCTGTTGTTTATACTCAGCAGCTGTGTCCTCTCTCTTTCTTTGTGTGTGTGCGCGCGTGTGTGTGTGTGTACAGGAAGGCCGCTGGAATGACAGTCCCTGTAACCAGACCCTGCCGTCCATCTGTAAGAAAGCAGCACAGAAGACTGACGGACAGGCCACAGGACCACGGCTGCAAAACCGTAAGACGTTATGTAGTCTCGTTCTCTCTTCTCTCTCTATCGCGGCGCGCGCCGCTCTCTCTCTCTCTCTCTCTCTCTCTCTCTCTCTCCTCTTCTATCTCCTCTCTCTCTTTATCTCTTCCCATTTTCCCCCTTTTTTCCTCCTTCTCTTTTCTTTAGTTCCCCCTTTCCGAATCTTTTCCCTTCCCCCTTTTATTGTTGGTTGCTAACCGGGGCTATTCAATTCCTTTTTGGGCCCCTTTTTTCCCCCTTCCTTGAGTTTCTTTCTTCGCTCTCCTTTCTCCCCCGGGCTTTTCTCCGACCTTTCAGGGACTTGCTCTTAGGGCCCCGGCCTCCTTCTTCTGTCCTCCATCCTTTTTGTTCCCCTTTTTTAGCCCCCTTTTTCCCCCTTTTCCCCAGTTTCCTCCACTTTTTTGCTGCCCTTTTTATTCCTTCCCCCTCCAAACCCCCCCCCTCAATTTTTAAAATTTTGGTTGGAATGCAAAAAAACCCTGTTAATTCCCCCCCCTTTGGGGATCTAATCTTTCCCCCCCTTTTCCATCCCCCCTTTTGCCCTTTCCCCGACCCCCGGTTTCCTTTTCCTCCCCGCCCCTTTTTCCCTCCGCCCTTAAAAACCCCATTTCCAGTTTTTTTCAATCCCGCTAACTCCCGGGGGCCAGGGGGGGGTCAGCCGGTACCTTGAATCCCCGAAAGGGGAAATAGTGCCCCCCCTTTAAAAATCCCCCCTCCCCCCAAAATTTTGGGCCCCCCCTTTCCCACCCCTTCCATTTCCAAACCCCCCCTCCTTCCCCCTTCCCCCTTGACCTAAAACCAACTCCTCCTTTTTCCCCTCCACCCAAGGATTTTCCCCTTCCTTTTCCCTTCCCGGGGTCCCCCCCCAAACCCCCCCCCCCAAAACCCCCAACCCCCACAAATTTTTGTTTTTTACTTTAAAAATTTTACCCACACCCTTTCCATATCCCCGGGCCCCATCTTTTGGGGCCCTTTTTTCCCCTTTTTTCCCTTTCCCCTCTCTGTCCCTTTCCGACCTTTTTTTTCCTTAAAAAGTTTTCCCCCTCCCTTTTTTGGTTTTGGGGGGCCCCCCCCCAATTTTAAACCCTCCCCCCCCCTTTTACAAAAAGTTACTTACAGGCCCGAGGGTTTTTCTTTTGATCCTGTGTTTCAGTAATTTTAGGGTTTATTTTTTCCCCCCCCTCCCCCCTTTGACTGATGGGGAAAACCCAAGCCCAAATTTTTTCCCTTTAGGGCCCCCCAAAAAAGGTTTTTCTTTTCTGTTTTCTTGGTTTTTTTTCTTTTTTGGGAACTTTTTTCCCGTAGAAATTGACTTGGGGTTTTTTTTGTTGAAGGTTTTTGGTTTGAGTTTTTTAATTTTTTTTCCCCCCCCCCCGCTTTTTTTGAGTTAACCCCCAACATCTGAAAGTTAAAAGTTTTTTAGACATCCCCAAGTTTGTTTTTAAACCCCCCCTTTAAATTGGTTGGGGGTTCAGTTTTTTTTATTTTTTTGTTCCCCGAACCAATAGGGGGTTTTTTTTTTATATTGGATCCCCCCAGTTTTTTGGCCTCAAAGGCTCCAGGAAATTGTAAACATTTTTTAAGATCCCCAGAGAGTGTTTTCAATTTTTTTTGGGGTCAATGGAACGGAGAGAAACGACCCCCTTGGAGAATCCAATCCCATCCTTTTTTTTCCCCCAGTATGATTCTAATATAGAGGAAATTTTGGCCCCCCCAGGCAGCTTTTTTCAGGGCCCTTTTATTCCCCCCTTCCTCCCTCCCCAAGTGCCCCCTTTTAGCAAAAACCTTTAAGTTGGACTGAACACACCCCCCAGTTAACTTCAAAAACTTTTCCCCTTTTCCTTTTTTCCCTCTCCTTTTTATACCCCACTCCCTTCCCAAAAAACAAATGTACCATTTTCCCCCTCAAACCCCTTGTGACTTTTGGGGTTGGGGGTTTCTGTTTTCGGTTTTGTACCCCGTCTGCAGATGAAACTGAGAGGAGGAGGGCGGGGGTGGAGAGAGAGTGTATCTTTTTTGTCCCGGACCCTTTTTTCTTAACCTTGTTGTTTTAGTACCAATGCCCTTGTAAAATTTCCCCCCTCCCCTTATCTGGTTTTTTGTTTTCATGCAATCCTGTTTTGGGTGTCGATTTGTTTCTCTTTGGAAGGTGATTTGAAAACCCCCTTTTTGGGCGTTATTATTTTAAAAGTTTCTCAATTTTTCCCCTCTCCCCCACCCCCTCCTTTCCTTTAGGGCCCGGAGTGGCACCGTCCGGCCCCGCTACTGGGTGGGGAGGAGCCCCGGGGACCTTTAGGATGGCAGGAAGGCCTTTTCCCCCTTGGGGCCCGGGGCTAAACCTCGTCACCATCCCCCAAAAGGTACACACACCAAAGCCTACCCCGTACTCCAACCCTTTACTTTCCAACACACACAGACAAAAAACACCCCCATTTAGTGGGAAAATTTTGACCCTTTTTCCCTTTTTTGCCTTTTGTTGTTGTAGGTTTGGGGCAGGAAATTTTTCAAACGGCTGGGGTTTGGTCGTTTTTTTGGGGGTTCCTTCCCGGATACCCTTTCGACCAAAGCCCCCGGAAAATTCCCCCTGGCTCAGTTTTGGGGAAAGTGGCCTTTTTACCCAATTGGAAAGAGACCCAAAAAGGTGGGGGCCTGGGCATTTTGTTTTCCCCTTCCCCCAAAAAAATGTTTTCCCCATTTTTTCATTGGACCTGTTTGGTCCTTGTACAGTTTTTCGGGTCCTTGGGCTGTAATGTATTTTCCAAAATTTCCCAAAAAGCCCCGTTCTAAACCCCCAAAACTAGATCTGAGGATTTTAAAACCCTTTTTCTCTTTTAGTATTTATTGTGGCAAATTGTCAATTCCTTTAAACAGGTGATTTGTTTAAACCCTTTTTTAAAACCCTCTTTTTTTTATGGGTCTCTACCACCAACTGGTGTGGATTCCCGTCATTTTCCCCCGTCCCAGACTCATACAAAAGAAAACATGAAAAATCTCTCAACCCCCCCTCCTCGTTTAGGAGGAAACATTTAAAGGGGGCTGGGGTAACCCTTTTTGCACGGGGTTTTTTCCCCCCCACAGGCCTATGGGAGGTGAAGGACTGGGGCGTCGGGGCCCGGGGGAAGTTCCTGTAGACTAAAACAACCGTCCCTTCAGCCCTGCGCCCCCCCCCGTCCCCCCCCCCACCCCCCGCCTCCCCGGGGTCCTGCCCAACGGGGGAAACAAAAGGCAAGCGCAAACCCCTGCTACAAGGTAAAACCCACACCCATTCCACTGCTTTTTTATAAAATTTCACAGAATGCAACCCTATATTTTTTAAGATATGTATTTGTGTAGTTCCAAATAATACCAGTAAATTTGCCTCTAACGCTCTCCCTTGGGGTTGCGGGGGTTGGTGTGTGTGGGGTGTGGTGCCCCCCTGCCTGTCTGCCCCCATGCCCCCCCAAGTTGTGTTTCCCAAAAGGGGTTTCCCTCGGGGCCCAATGGACCAAAGCTGATTCTGGCTTTTCAGGCCCCCCCCTAAACCTGTCAGGACACCATGGAAGCCAACCTGTTTAGTGTTCCCGTGGCCCAGGGAGGAGAAATTCATACTGCCCGATACTACACGAACCTTTGGGGGGGGGGGGACGGGGGCCCCAGACTTGGGTTTTTGGGGAGGGTTCCCCCCTTTTTTTTAAAATTTTAAAAGGGGAGGGGTGGGGTTTTTAAATTTAAAAGGGAATGTGGTTGGGGAATGATATTTTTATGATTATTTAAATTTTGGTTTGGTTTTTTATATTTTTCCTGTTAAAACCCAAATGTGTAATGGAAAAGTGGTTTTTTTTTCATACCAAATCCCCCTGAGATACCCCCAGGGAGTGGGGGGCCCCGGGCCCGGGTCCCATTGTACAGGCCCCCGGACAATTTCGGGTTTAAATGCCCGGCTCAAGGGCAAAACGGAAAAATTTATATTATTTTTTTTGGGGTTATTTCCAAAAGATGATGGTTTTGATGATGATGAAAGGTCCCCCCGGGGGTCCGAGGAACCCAAAGGCAGCCCCTTGGGGTTTTGGATTGGAACTGAAACCCCAGGAACCCCCTTTGGAAAAACGGGAGCTGGAAGTGGAGCGACGGAGGCCGGGGATTCCCCAGCATCACCTTCCGGGCACCAGCCACAGAATTTTTTAAAACCCTTCTATGGAACTAATTGAGCAGAAAAAACCAAAAAAAACTATCTATTATTTCCCCACTAAAACCGAAAAAAATTTACTGATAGGTACAAAACCCACTGCAACAAAAACAGGGCCCCTTTTTGCAAACCCCTTTTACTTTTAGCTCAAAAAGCCCTTTTTTATATAGTCCTACTTTGTAGCTACTTTTTTTAACATCTCAACCCATTTCCTTTATTTCAGTAAACCTTTTCCAAACCAATTTTTGGGGGGTTACTACTTTCGACAATTTCCCTTTATTTTGGGGAGCAAAGAACCCGGGCACCCCTGGGGCCTGGTGGCCATGCGCTTTGACTCTGAACTGGGCGGGGATTGCAAAAATCCCCAAAGGGAACAGAAAGACAACAGAACCACACATGCCCCCAAAAAAATCAATCACCCCAAAACAGTGCTTTCTTTTTGTATACAGACACAATGGAGGCAAACTGAAAAAGGGCCCTTTTTTTTATGGGGCCCGAAAAAAATTTTATTTTGAAAATTCAAATTTTGGGGTTATGTAGTGCTTTAGCGATTAAACGTAGAAAAAAAAACTCAGGTTTTTAAACAAATAATTGTCCCCACATCCGGTTAATTACTTGAAATTTAAATTTTGTTTTTTTTGGTTTTTTTTTGGGGAACCCCAAAGGCCATTTTTTTCTAAAAGAAAACAAATAAACAGGGGGAAAATTACAACAATAACTATGGTTGGGGGTTTTTGGGGAAGGGAAATTGTAGTTTTCAAAGCAAATATGTGACCGATCGGTCGATTTGGGGGCCCTTTTGTAAAAACATTTTTAAAATTGGGGGTTTTTTACATTGGGGGTAAAATAGAAAAATCAGACTAGAAAATTGTATATCATACAAAAACAGTTTTTTAGGAACCAAAAGGGCAGTAAAATTCTCTTGGAATTGGGGTAAACTTGTTAACCCACCCCTTTTAGAAAAGGCCCTTGAAATTTTTTTGGTACCCCCTCCGGGGGAGCTCTTTCTTTTTTCTACACCCCTTTAGCCATCGTTCACCCCCAAAACCCCCCTTTAAGCCCTCACCCATCTCTTTAAGGATTCACAAAGTGAGGCCCTTTTGCTAAATAAAAGGGGGAGACGGTAGTGTACCCAAACCCAAAAAAAAGATTTCAAGACTTAAAGGGCGGGTTATACTAAGTCATCGAAAAGTTTTTGTAGACAGTTTCCGCAAGTGCCCATTTTTTGAAAAAATTTTTTTTTTTGTCTTCCCCACATCAAATTGGGGTTAAAGAAAAAATATAACACAAAAAAAGAAGGCTGCATGCCCTCCGCCCTGGTGGTCCAAAAAAAGCATAAATGGTTTATTTAAACCCCAAAAACCGCATCCGGGGGGGGAAAAAACCCTAAAAGGGGAGGAGGGGGGAAGAAAGGTTTTTTTTTTTAAGGGGGGGGGTGGAAAAAGGAAAGGGAAAAAGGGGAAAAGGGGTTTTTTAAAAAAGGACAAAAGAGGAAGTAGGGAAGTTTCCAAAATTTTTACAAGGGAAGGTAAAAAAAAGGGGGGAAAATTTAAAAAATTTTTTTTGATAATTTAAAAGGGGGGGGTAAAAAGGGGATAAAAAAGGGTATTTAAAAAAATTTTTTTTATTTGGCCAAAAAAAGGGGGGGGAAATTTTTAAAAAAAAAAAAGGAAAGGAAAAAAAGGGGGGGGGGGGTTAAAAAAGAGGGGGGGGGAAAAAGGGTTTTTTTTAGGGGGGAAAAACCAAGGGGGGGGGGGGGAAAGGGGGGACCGGGAAAATGATTGGGGGAAACCGATGGGGGGATGGGGAAGGAAATCCGCGTTGTTTGGGGAGAAATAGGGGGGGTCAGGAAGGGAAAGGGGAGGTTTTGGGGGCGGGGGAGGGAGGGGGGGTGGCGAAAAAGAAAAAGGGAAATAAGGAAAAAAAAGGGGGGGGAAAAAAAAAGGGGGGAAAAAGGGAAAGGAAATTTAAATGGGTTGCTTTGGTTTTTAGCTTTTTTTTGCCCCTTTTTTTTTTGATGCCCTTTGTGTTGGATAAATTTTTGGTTTTGGAAAAACCCCCCCCCCCTCCCCCGCCTTTTTCCCTTCCTTCAAATTTTTTCTAAAAAAAATTTTTTTTTTGTTTTGTTTTTTTTGGAGTTTTTACTTTTTTCCCCCCTTTTTTTTTTAAGTTGTGGGTAGCCAGTTTCCTTTTAATTTCCCTTAATTTTTTAAATTTTTTTCTGGGGAAACGTTTTAAATTTGGGGCAAAATTTTTTTATTTTTACAGAAAATAAACTCACCCCCAAAAATTTAAAAAATTTAAATTAAAAGGAAATAAAAAAAAACAAAAATAAAATTTTCGGTTTTTTGAGGTGAAGAAATAAAAAAAGGGTTTCCCGGGGGTTTTTTGAGAAAAAAAAATTAAAAAAATTTTCCTAAATTTAATTAACCTTTCCCCAATTTTACCCTTTTGCTTTTAAGGGGGTTTTTCCCCCAAATTTTTGTCTCTGGTTACCACCACTTTTATCAAATATAATCTACGTTTTATTGTCACATGCACAGGATACAGAAAGGGTAAATGGTACAGTGAAATGGTTTACTTGCATAGTGGAGTCTTTTGTTTAGACATCTAGCTAGCTATTTAAACAATGAACCATAATCCCAACTCATAATGTTACTACCCTGCATGAATCTGCAGGTAGCTAATGCTAACCAGCTAGGTTCAATGTTAGCTAGCTAGCTAACATTAGGCTATAACTAGCAATGCAAATGGCTCTGAGATACGAATAATATTACTACACAGATCATACATGTAACGTTAGCTAACGAGCCATCCAGCTAACATTAGCTAGCTAGCTAACAGTACACTTTAACTTGCTATGAAAACGACTTTCTGACAGAAACGCATAATATCTGAAAATGTAGCTAGCTAGACTCCCTTACCCATATATATGGATGAACGCTTCTCCCTCTCTGCCACGGATGCCATGGTTGCCCTTAGTTTGAAGATGTAATCCGGAGACAGGTGTTTTTTACAACAGCCTTCTGTGTGTTCTCTTTTCGACACCCTCTGCATATTTGCAATCAAACGCCAGAATGTTCTTCATCTCCTTAGCTATCATACTCTGCTTCCACCGGACATTCCTCTGATTTCAAGACTCGGCCTCCTGAAAGTGGAGAGCATTAGCAACACTTTTGCAGCTCTTCGTGATATCTTTAAAAAAAAGCCGCGTTAGAAAGGATTACCTACACATACTGAGCAGCTCATGTTATAGACAGAAGCTTGCTACATGGCAGACCAATCCGAACTCATCTCTCGGCATGTCCAGCCCATCCATTATCTCAGCCAATCATGGCTAGCGGGAAGGTTCCTGTCTTTTTCCATGGCTAAAGCAACTAGGCTCGTAATTTAACAATTGTATTCATATTTACAGATGGCATGCAAGTTTGTTATTAAGTCATATGAAGTTTCAGATGTTCCAGAAGGCATTTCTGCCAAAAAACTCATTTTGATAAAAACATTTATGTTTACATTCAAATGCCTTCAAATAAATTAGTGACACGCGACATATGCCTAGTTTCCTGAAACGAGCCACATATTCAACCTAATTCAGCGCAAAAAATGTGTAATTAACTACAATGACCATAATCAATTGCACCATTTTTTTCAGGCTCAGATAGAGACAGGTCAGAGAGGAAGAGGCAAAGCGAGAGGTTTCAGTCTCGACAAAATCGGTCCAAAATAAGCTCAAAATAAACCCAATGCGTTTCTATGGGCTTATTTTGGACCTAAGCTTGTCGCCTGCCTTCCCGCCTTTGGGACAACGACTCCCATTATTAGGGCGGAGACATAAGCATCACTTCATTATATACAGATCTCTGGACGGATACACTTTTACGCCTGCTACGTTAGGTTGGATACACACAGACTGCATAGACCTCATGAGAGAGGAATGTACACAACACAACAACAGGAGGGACAGAAACAGTTTGTGAAGTATGCCTTATCTACTTTGAACAACTAGTAAAATGATTTTGTCAGACAGCTCTGCAATATACTTAGGCAGGCTAGCCTAGATAAATAGGATGACTAAAGACAGTACAGTATGGGAAATAATAAAGTCATTAATTAAGTAATATACACACCTGAAATATTGTATTATTTCATAGTCATTTCATTTTTCTGTTGATGTCTACCCAATGTGTACCTGACAGAGACAATGGAATATTTTCAATGTTTTGGCAATTGAATGTTCACTATTTTTGGTTTTGGAATTTCCATTAAAAAGCTCTATCATTGTAGTTATTTCATAATGCTTTTTCTGTTGAAAAGAATAATCGACCCGAAACCGAACCGACCTCAAAAAGCACTAATCACTCAGCACTAGGGTTATGAATTTGTTATGAATTATGAATTCAGACCACTTTGGTGTTTTGTGTTTTCAGGAAAAGTTGATAAGGATCCAAACCCCACTGAAGGTAAACCACACTCCTCTCATTGTCTCTGTTATTTGTATAGTCTCCCATCATAACCCAACTAGCACCTTCTCCTTCTTTGCTTCCCCTCGTTCTCCTCCCCCCAGCCCCCACTCGCAGTGAGTGGGTGGGCTTCCAGGAGGCAGAGTATAAGTTCTTTGACCTCCGGTCTACGTGGGACCAAGCCCAGAGGATCTGTTCCTGGCTCAATGCTTCTCTGGCTTCCATCCACTCTTCTGCAGAGGAGGTTTTCCTGGCCAACACACTGCACAAGGTGCCCCACATAACCTTTATAACCCTTTATTTAAAAACAACTTTATAACCCTTTTATAACTGCTTCATGTTCATGAAGAACATGACAGAATTAAACATCCACATGGGCACTTTCATAACTCTACAAAAGGTACCAACCATCAACCACCACATGGATGGACATGTGCTGTTTTATCCAAGCCAATAGTCTGTGCTGTACTGTACATCACTGCATGTCACTGGAGGTCATGTGTGTTTTCTCTCTCACCTGCAGATGACCAAGGTAGAGGGGGACCACTGGTGGGTGGGGCTTCATACGTATGAGAACGATGGCCGTTTCCGCTGGTCAGACCACTCTGTGCTCAACTATGTGTCCTGGGCTTTCGGCAGGCCACACCCACTCAGCCGTGACCGCAAATGTGTCCACATGTCAGTCAGCAAAGGTGAGGATTCTGGGATGCTGTACAGTTTGTCTCGTAAATAGCATATTTTGTGTGTTTTTTTTTAAACAACATTTCATCTTTCATTCTAAAACGTTCTACAGCGGAGTGGGCAGATCAGAAATGCCACTCAGACCTGCCCTACATCTGTAAGAGAGTGAATGTCACAGGCACCATCCCACCCACACCCTCCACCACCCTGCCCCCCGCGGGTTGCCCCGATGGCTGGGCCCATTTCCTGCACATGGTAGGGCTCCTGGGTTATGTAGTTCATACTGTACTGATAAAGATGTGAAAGTTATATGAATGTGACATAACTGTGATATGTTATGATTTGATCTTCCATTTTAGCCACTCAGTTGTGATCAGATCTCACGTTAGATCTCAAACTGACCTCTCACCTGAGGGTACTGGTTTCTCCTGGGTTATGTTAAGTGTGAGAGCATGATTGTCCTTCCTGACCTGACCTCTCACCTTCCTGTTTGTGTGTGTGTAGTGTTATAAGGTGTTTGGTCATGAGCAGACCCGGAGGGCCACATGGTCAGGAGCCAGGCTCATGTGTGAGTCACAGGGAGGAGCCTTGGCTGTGGTGCCCAATCACGTAGAGCAAGGTAGTTTTATTCTCAACTGACGCACAAACAAACACACGCACGGTTTCACACACACACACAAGGGCACACACACACATACACCATCAAAACATCAGTGGTTCCCAAACTGTCGGGTGAGATGAACATACGCAATAACGTACTTTTTAAGGAACTCAGTCAGGCTTTCAACTTCTTCTTGAAAGTTGTAATAGTAGAATGCATTAATTTTCGAAATTGGGTAGTGCATCATCAGTTTTGCTCTTGTCATGTCAGTCATTGCAGACCTTAGAGAGCTTTTTATAACTTGTCAGACATGTCCAGTTCCCCAATGATGAAAGGGGGGCATGAGTGAAAAAGTTTGGGAAGCACTGAATAACATCATGCATGCTGTCTCCCACAGCCTTTGTCACCACTCTGCTGTCCAACGTGAGTTTTGACCTGTGGGTGGGGCTGACGTCTGACTCTAAAGGCCACTTCCAGTGGGCTCATCCTGGACTCCTCAGCTACACCAACTGGGCCTCTGGAGAACCCCTGGACAACAGTGGACCACTCCACAACAAGACTCCGGTACATACCACCCTGGTCTCATCTGTTTCTGTATTAATCCAGTCTTGCATCCCAAATGGAACCCTATTCCCTACATAGTGCACTACTTTAGAACCAGTTCACTAGTCGAAAGTAGTGCACTATATATGGAATATGGTGCCATTTGGGACACACACTTGGTCTGTGGTCCAGTCTTTGTCATGTCCATTGTTGATGACATCATTGACACCTGACAGGGTAACTGTGTGGTGATGATCCATGGGAACCCAGCAAAGAATACTGGCATGTGGGCGTCCCGGGCCTGTGAGATGGAGAAACATGGCTACATCTGCCAGAAGAAACAAGGTACAGTCACAACTCCAAACTGCACAGCTACTCGCAATGCAACAGTGCATAACATAACTAACCAGTGAATGGTGTAGTAGACAAGCATTCCTGTGTGAATCTGTTACATGGTACTGTACCTACTGAAACACATACCTGATATATTAAACAGTTGTGTTTATATCAGTCAGCAGAAACAGTTTCCTTTATATGCTGATATAACTTTGTCTCCTTAGACCCAGCTCTGCCCTCTGGCCCTGCCCTCCTGCCATCCTCCCTGTCGGGAGCCCTGGAGCTGGGTGGGGTGTCGTACCGCGTAGTGAAGAAGCGTCTGGACTGGACAGGGGCGCTGCATGTGTGCGAGTCTCTGAACGGGACGTTGGCTTCAGTGAGAGACCCCTACCAACAGGCTTACCTCACCCTGCTGATGAACAGCCTACACCTCCCAGCATGGATCGGCCTTTACAACTCTGGGGTGAGGCCCTGGACATGACAAGCTAGGAGGAGTTATGCACATTTACGAGATCTTTATTGGTTTGTTTTGATACAACAACATGGTAAAATGTAGGGTGAGATAATTGTAACACTACAATATTACATTGATATAATCAGATCTTCAAAGATTTATTTAACTAGATTGGCCAATGAGGTAAGACTTGGAGTCAGAATATTATGATTAACTCCTCCTCTGTTCCACACTCAGGGGCGGAGCTTCAGCTGGTTGGGCGAGGAGGACCTGACTTACACTGCCTGGCGGGATGGGGAGCCTAATAAACTGTCTGGATGTGGTCACATGACCACGGTGGGGCAGTGGACTATGACCCCCTGTGACGCTAAACTGGATGCTGCCATCTGTCAGATTAATACAGGTGTGGGTGTGTGTGTGGGTGTGTGTGTGTGTGTGTGTGTGTGTGTGTGTGTATTTGTGCATCCGTGTATGTGTGCATGTTTGTGTGTGTGTGTTTTATCAATAGGATAATGCAGTATATGTGTAAGCCCTGTCCTGCTCTCTCTCTCTCTATCTCTCTCCACCAGAGGAGGCTGTGGTGCACCAGTGGAGTTACCCAGGACAGTGCCCTCACTCTCTGGGCGACTGGGCCTGGGTGCCCTTCAGGAACCACTGCTACTCCTTCAACCTGCAGAACCTACGGCTGCAGACCGACGCCCACTCCTCCTGCAGGAAGGGTAAGGAGGACACTCTGTCACCTGCCAATCACACAGTCCAGACATGCCCTTAGTCAGCCAGACACTCCTTAGTCTCTATACATGACACTATACATGCACATCGTGTGTGTCCCAAATGGCACCCTATTCCCTATGTAGTACACTACTTTTGATCAGAGCCCTATAGAGAATAGGATGCCATTTGGGACGCACAACAGTGGATTCGGTTAGCTTTTAACAGCTAGGACCGCTATTTCTTGTCCCGGAATCCCGCTTAACTGCTTGAAAGAGCCGCTAACCTAGCTAAGTTGCTAGCCATCAAGCTAACAAAGTTAGTTCCAGATGAGTTTTCCAATGGAGCCATCTTTGTCTGGAGAAGTAAATGAACGGTTCAAGCGCTGTAGGAGCTGTATCTACTACGCTTTGTTTCGGGACAAACTGGATCACTCAGAGTTCCAATGTGGCTATTGTTTGCTTGCCGAGGATTATAGGCTTGAGGTGGCTTCCTTGATCACGCAGGTCGCCAACCTACGTAAGAAACTGGGGGAAACGCAGAGTGGAATGTTTACCTTTTCTACGCCGGTGGCTGGACAGCGTTCACACTTGTTGGATGCATCTCCGCCTTGTCGTTTGTCGTTATTCGACTGGCCGGTGTTGCCCGGAGTTCGTTTGCCAGGGGAGCCATCTCCTGCCTCTCCTCCCCCATCTGATAGCGGAGTCGAAGGAGCACAGCAAGAGGAGCATGGCAATCAACGATGGTCGCATGTCACGAGCCATGGAAGCCAAAGACAGCGGCCTCCCGCAAAGCAGTCTATACTCCCAATGAGAGGCCCGGAGCGGATACAAACAACAAATAGTTTCGCCGCCCTGGAGCCTGATCTTCCTGCACCTTCGTCGCTAGGGGTACCTGTGTGTGCGGCCGCTGTGCCTACTCCTACTCCTTCCCTCAAGAAAAAGCTTCAAACTGTAACCAGTGCCTGCAACCTGGTTCAGGTTATCAGTCAACCTACCAGGGTAGTTACAAACAACACAGGAATGAAATCATCAACATATATTGATCACATCTTTACTAATGCTGCAGAAGTGTGCTTGAAAGCAGTATCCAGATCCAGCGGATGTAGTGATCACAATATAGTAGCCATATCTAGGAAAACCAAAGTTCCAAAGGCTGGGCCTAATATAGTGTATAAGAGGTCAAACAATACGTTTTGTAGTGACTCCTATGTTGTTGATGTAATGAATATTTGTTGGTCCGTGGTGTGTAATGAGGAGCAAACAGACGTTGCATTTGACACATTTATGAAATTGATTATCCCAGTTACTAATAAGCTTGCACCCATTAAGAAAATGACTGTAAAAACTGTTAAATCCCTGTGGATTGATGAGGAATTGAAAAATTGTATGGTTGAGAGGGATGAGGCAAAAGGAATGTCAAATAAGTCAGGCTGCACAACCGATTGGCAAACGTACTGCAAATTGAGAAATCATGTGACTAAACTGAATAAAAAGAAGAAGAAACTACACAATAAAACAAAGATAAATGATACAAAAAGAATGATAGTAAAAAGCTATGGAGCACCTTCAATGACATTTTGGGAAAAAAGGCAAACTCAGCTCCATCATTCATTGAATCAGATGTCTCATTCATCACAAAACCGACTGATATTGCCAACTACTTTAATGATTTTTTCATTGGCAAGATTAGAAAATGTAGGCATGACATGCCAGCAACAAACACTAACACTACACATCCAAGTATATCTGACCAAATTATGAAAGACAAGAATTGTAATTTTGAATTCTGTAAAGTGAGTGTGGAAGAGGTGTCTATCAACAATGACAAGCCACCAGGGTCTGACAACTTGGATGGAAAATTACTGAGGAAAATAGTGGACGATATTGCCACTCCTATTTGCCATATCTTCAATGTAAGCCTAATAGAAAGTGTGTGCCCTCAGGCCTAGAGGGAAGCAAAAGTCATTCCAATCAGCCTGTTACCAACCCTTAGTCAAGTTTAGGAAGAAATGGTGTTTGACCAGATACAATGCTATTTTACAGTAAACAAATTGACAACGTTCTTTCAGCACGCTTATAGGGAAGGACATTCAACAAGCACAGCACTTACACAAATGACTGATGATTGGCTGAGAGAAATTAATGATAAAAACATTGTGGGGGCTGTTTTGTTAGACTTCAGTGTGGCTTTTGACATTATCGATCATAGTCTGCTGCTGGAAAAACATATGTGTTATGGCTTTACATCCCCTGCTATATTGTGGATAAAGAGTTACCTGTCTAACAGAACACAGAGGGTGTTATTTAATGGAAGCCTCTCCAACATAATCCAGGTAGAATCAGGAATTCCCCAGGGCAGCTGTCTAGGCCCCTTACTTTTTTCAATCTTTACTAACGACATGCCACTGGCTTTGAGTAAAGCCAGTGTGTCTATGTATGCGGATGACTCAACACTATACACGTCAGCTATTACAGCGACTGAAATGACTGCAACAATTAACAATGTGCTGTAGTTAGTTTCAGAATGGGTGGCAAGGAATAAGTTAGTCCTAAATATTTCTAAAACTGAAAGCATTGAATTTGGGACAAATCATTCACTAAACCCTAAACCTCAACTATATCTTGTAATAAATAATGTGGAAATTGAGCAAGTTGAGGTGACTAAACTGCTGGGAGTAACCATGGATTGTAAACTGTCATGGTCGAAATATATTGATACAACAGTAGCTAATATGGAGAGAAGTGTCACGATCGTCTAATGAGGGAGACCAAAGCGCAGCGCGTTGAGCGAACATGACTTTATTAAATTAAAGTACTCACTACAAAAACAACAAACAATGACGAATCGTGAAGTCCTCAGTTACAATGACTGACAAGGAACAAAAACCCACAACACTAAGGTGAACACTGACAGTTTAAATATGGCTCCCAATCAGAGATAACGAGCCGACAGCTGACACTCGTTACCACTGATTGGGAGTCACACGACCAAACAAGGAAACCCAACCAAATACAACACACCCAATACCAAACACAACCAAATGAACACACCCTGGCTCAAAATACACAGTCCCGGAGCCAGAGCGTGACAGTACCCCCCCCTAAAGGCGCGGACTCCGACCGCGCCTACACCCCAAATAGGGAAGGGCTGGGTGGGTATTGCTCCTCGGAGGCGGCTCCGGCTCCGGGCTTGACCACCACCCTACTACAATCCCCCCGTAGTGCCCCCAGTCCGATCTGACCCAGTTAGCTGGATCAGGACTGCCGACGCGCACCCCTGGCTTGGCGCGTGAGGCAGGAATGGACCGGACCTGGCAGACGATACGCACCCTTTGCATGGTGCGTGGAGCCGGAACAGGCCTCACCAGGCTGAAGACTCGCATCCCTGGCTTGGTGCGAGTAGCAGGAATGGGCTGAATCCGGCTGACGACTCGCACCCTTGGCTTGGTGCGAGTAGCAGGAATGGGCTGAATCCGGCTGACGACTCGCACCCTTGGCTTGGTGCGAGTAGCAGGAATGGGCTGAATCCGGCTGACGACTCGCACCCTTGACTTGGTGCGAGTGGCAGGAACAGGCAGAATCCGGCTGACGACTCGCACCCCTGGTTTGGTGCGAGTGGCAGGAACAGGCCGGACAGGGCTGACGAAACGCACCATAGACTTGGTGCGGAGAGCAGGCACGGGTCTGACAGGGCTGGCGACGCGCACCACAGACTTGGCGCGGAGAGCAGGAACGGGCCGGACAGGGCTGATGACGCACACCACTGGCTTGGTGCGGGGAGCTTGGATGGGCCGGACTGTACTGGGGACACACACCACTGGCCCTACACCGGGATCTGGAACGGGCCGGACCGGACTGGCAACACACGCCAGTACCTCTCGCCGTGCCTCTACTTCCTCCATCCCCTCTTCGACCAGTGGCCCCCGTAACCCGACGGCCTCCTCCGGCAACCCACTGGACCGCTCTATCGCGGCCTCCTGCTGGTCCGACGTCGTGAGCCCCCCCCTAAAAATTTTCTGGGGTTCTCTCCTCTTCGTGGACCAGGCCTCCATCGTTCTCGCCAGACTATCACCCCACTGCTCCAAAGTCCAACCTCTCTCCTCTTCTCTTGGCTTGGCCCAGTCGAGACTCCTACTCAACTGCTCCCAAGTCCATCCTCTCTCTTCTTCATGCTGCTTGATCTGGTTAAGGTGGGTTTTTCTGTCACGATCGTCTAATGAGGGAGACCAAAGCGCAGCGCGTTGAGCGAACATGACTTTATTAAATTAAAGTACTCACTACAAAAACAACAAACAATGACAAATCGTGAAGTCCTCAGTTACAATGACTGACAAGGAACAAAAACCCACAACACTAAGGTGAACACTGACAGTTTAAATATGGCTCCCAATCAGAGATAACGAGCCGACAGCTGACACTCGTTACCACTGATTGGGAGTCACACGACCAAACAAGGAAACCCAACCAAATACAACACACCCAATACCAAACACAACCAAATGAACACACCCTGGCTCAAAATACACAGTCCCGGAGCCAGAGCGTGACAAGAAGTCTGTCCATAATAAAGCCCTGCTCTACCTTCTTAACAGCACTATCAACAAGGCAGGTCCTACAGGCTCTAGTTTTGTCGCACCTGGACTACTGTTCAGTCGTGTGGTCAGGTGCCACAAAGAGGGACTTGGGAAAATTGCAATTGGCTCAGAACAGGGCAGCACGGCTGGCCCTTGGACGTACACAGAGAGCAAACATTAATAATATGCATGTCAATCTCTCCTGGCTCAAAGTGGAGGAGAGATTGACTTCATCACTACTTGTATTTGTGAGAGGTACTGACATGTTGAATGCACCGAGCTGTCTATTTAAACGACTAGCACAGAGCTCAGACAACCATGCATACCCCACAAGACATGCCACCAGAGGTCTCTTCACAGTCCCCAAGTCCAGAACAGACTATAGGAGGCACACAGTACTACGTAGAGCTATGACCAAATGGAACTCTATTCCACATCAGGTAACTGATGCAAGCAGTAGAATCAGATTTAAAAAACAGATACAAATGCACCTTATGGAACAGCGAGGACTGTGAAACAACACACACATAGGCACAGACACATGCTACACACACGATAACATATGCACTATACACACACGTACACATGGATTTTGTGTTGTAGATATGTGGTAGTGGAGTAGGGGCCTGAGGGCACACACTTAGTGTGTTGTAAAATTTGTTATGAATATATTGTAATGTTTTTAAAATTGTATAACTGCCTTAATTTTGCTGGACCCCAGGAAGAGTAGCTTCCTCTCTCCACTCAATCGCTGTTGTCATGGAGAGAGCTTTCAGCGCTCAGCACTGACATCATGACCAAATATGTCAATAAGTCTAAATTAGCTGTGATTCATTGAGCTTTTATTGAAATGCACTCGCTTTATTATCTCCTGATTTCTCGCTTTCATTTTCCTTCATCATCCCTTCTCCTGTCACACTACCATTGTCTGTCTAAACTTATTCATGAGCTTTATTAGTCAATATGGTTATATGACCTATTCTCTTCATTTCTCTCTCATCTCCTTCTCTGTTTCACACCTCCCTCGTCTGTAACTCTCTCTGACCACTATTCTCAATGTATCTACCTCCTCCTATCTCTCTCTCTCCTCTTCTCTCTCTTCGAGTATCTCTCAATTCCTCTCTCTCTCTCTCTCTCGTCTAGCTCTCTCTCTCTCTCTCTCTCTCTCTCTCTCTCTCTCTCTCTCTCTCTCTCTCTCTCTCTCTCTCTCTATCTATGCCCCCCTCTCTCCCCCCCCAGTGGGTGCCCAGCTGCTGTCGGTCCTGGATGAAACAGAGAATGGCTTTGTATGGGAGCACATCCAGAGCTACCAGGAGCAGGCCCACGGAGCCTGGCTGGGTATGACCTTTAACTCCAAAGGTAAGGAACTCCTCAGGTAGTACACAGTGAAAGTATACACAGATGATTCTTACTGTTAAAAACATGTAAAGATCATGTACTGTAAGGTCATATAATCTAATGTGTTATGTAAGAAGAGTCAAATATCAGAGTGACATATGCTAGTCATATACTCATTCATATATTAACATACATTATTTGTACCCACCTTTTTGCAATAGGGTATTCCAGGGCTATTTCAAGGTATTCTTCAGACAGGCATGGCCATACTGTGTGAACATCAGTGTGTGTTTGTGTGTGTGTTGTTCCTGGTGTTGTCCTGCAGGGAGCAGTCTGATGTGGTCTGAGAGTGCAGAGGTGAAGTTCACTAACTGGGAGGTGCAGGGCACCAACCTGAGCATGCTGTTTCCCAACACCTGCTTCTGGATCCAGAGCAACACTGGCCTGTGGAAACCAGGCTCCTGCAAGAACCGCACGCACGGAGTCATCTGCAAACGGCCACGCAGTAAGGAAGGCCTCACACTGTAGCACAGACAAATAACAATATGGACAATGTCCTACATGTACATAGTGTCAAAGTCGCGTCAATTCAAATCTGGTATTAGGAACAAAAGAGGTCAACACGACTTCTAAGATATACTAGTTATTTTAATTAATGCAAAAACCTTCAATGGTAAATATGATGTTTCGTATATATGGGCTCTCTGAAACACCTCGCAGGGCACTTCAGAGAACTAACCCATTGTTCTGGGTTCTTGCTCAAATACTCTGACAGAGGGAGTTTCCCACCTCTCTGCTGACCAATTAGAGTAGAGACTTGAGCGTGGTTTAGACTTACTCAGTCAATCCGTTGATGCATCTCTGTTACCAGGCATATGTCCATATCATAACAACCTGTCATAGTAAGAAGAGCCAGCTCCCTTAGACACCATTCCTACGTCCAAGGAAGGTTCACAGATCACAAAGAACCAGTATATTCCAGCATCTGGAGACACAAATCCCTATCTCCCTTTACCCCCTAAAACAGCTCTTCACATCAATCACAGCCTGCCAGGTGTCACAACCTACATTAGCCCAGTCAAGAATGCATTCTTTCTAAGTTAGTCATCCCATCAATTATAAACATAATAAATCTCTCACAATAGTGATAGCAAAGATGTATGACCACTTACTGTGCTTCATTTAAAACTGCCAACAGCAATCTCTGAACTGACAACACAACTCAAATGTTATCTTTTTCGTTGCAGGTGCTGAGGCTTCGGCAGTAGTCTGTAAGTATGGATAGGATATCCTATGTTGTTTGTTCAAGTCATGAAATGTTAGATTTGTTTAAATCTGTAATGCTAATCTGTAAAAAAAAATAGTCCTTCTCTCTCTCCCCCTCTCTCCCTGTCTGTTTCAGCTGAAGAGGACCACCTGCCCACACTGATCGTGATCATGGTGACAGGCCTGGTGTTGGTGATCCTCATCGTGGGCATGATCTACCTGTACCGCCGGCGCCAGGCGGGCTCCCTGGGCTCTTACGAGGGGGCGCGCTACAGCCGCACCAACTCCAACCCCTCCGAACAGGCCGAGAAGAACATCCTGGTGTCTGACATGGAGCTCAACGAGCAGCCGGTGTAGCACAGCCAACCAGGACCCCCCCCCCCCCTCCCCCTGGGCAGGAGACACCTGGGAGTACCTAATATTGACTGACTGATACACATTCTGCTTCTACATTTTATGTCCCTGTTCTGTTTGAAGAGATGTTGAAGATGCTGAAGGTCTGTGCTGTGTAGAGCGTAGCAGATGCCAATCAAATTCCATTTAAACAGTCATTCTCCAAAGGGGTTAATAATATGCAAATTACAATATGAACTGCTTTTCCTAGTAGTATAGAAATAATGTTTCTGATGTCAGTTTCGCATTTCATTTCAAACAAGTTCATGTTTTTGGTCACTATGTCTAAAAGGCAGATGCCAAAAGCCAAAGCCTTTGCACCAGTTCTTCGCTTGTCAAGAGACTCAGTATCATCCAAATATCCACACAACCTCCATCGAGACCATGACAGTATTTACCTGAGGTTAACTTCAGGTTTGTTTTGTATATTTCCTTTTGGTTTGTTTGTGTGTTTTTTGTCAAAACCAGTGCAGCTGTAGTGAATCCTTCTTCAAATTCTGGTTGTTGTGGTGAAGCTTCTGTTGTTGCCCGTCCCCTGCCCTCCCTCCCTCCCTTCTGTTCTAACTGACACGTCAGCAGAGGCTGGTTGGAAAGCAATACTTACTTCAGTGTGGAAGAGAAGAGGACAGTGATTTTACAGTGACGATTTTAGAGTCCCTGGCCTGTACACCACAACCGCACATACAGTAGGAGAGAGAGAGAGGGGGGGGGGGGGGGGGGAGCCTGAGATTTGACATTGATACAGACTGATACCGTTTTTTTGTCTTGGTACAGTGTGATGGGGAAGATAAGGGTATGACCCCCATTATATCTCAGTATGTAACGTTCTAGAGGGTTTTAGAGGGTTTGTTTTAGCACTTTCTACCACCATCATGAGAAGAGCCAACATTTATTACTTAAAGTAACTGTCCAGTGTTTCCAGATTTCTATGAAATATGACCTATAATGAATTACAATATGAGTGAAATAGTTTTCCTTCCCAAAAAATGGTAATGAAGTATTTTAAAAAGCAGCTTTTCTGTGGTGGAATGGTGTGGGCCTACCACAACAACAGAATGGTGTGGGAGTATACCGGTCATTATATTGATGCGAGTAGACCGCTGATTGGCCAGTGAACACGTTTTTTAAACAGTCTGTTTGAGATACAGGTTTGAAGTGGGGGGGGGTTTTCTCCAATTTAAGCTTTGACCACAAATACGAGTATAGGATAAGTCAACAACATTATTTGGTTATGAGTTAACAGAGTATTAACTTTTAAAAGTGAGATTTTCACTAGACAGTTACTTTAAGCAAAGGACAGTGCATTCACTCCTTTGTTCATGCATTATTACTAAGGTACTTTTCAATTGTTTTTGTTTCATTTCCTTCCCTTGGCTTGGCTTTTGGATGGGTAACATGGTGTAAAGTAGGTGAACGTCTGTGTCTCATGACTGGTACGGATGGTTAGGTTTCCCATGTTAATGTTTGTGTTTGTTGGTGGTATGAATACACACTGACCTGCAGCCCTGGAAAACATACCCTATATGTACAAAAGTACGTGGACACCCCTTCAAATGAGTGGATTCGGCTATTTCAGTCACACCCGTTGCTGACAGGTGTATAAAATTGAGCACACAGCCATGCAATCAATCGCCATAGACAAACATTGGCAGTAGAATGGCCTTACTGAAGAGCTCAGTGACTTTGATGCCACCTTTCCAACAAGTCAGTTCATCAACTTTCTGCCCTGCTACAGCTGCCCTGGTCAACTGTAAGTGCTGTTATTGTGAAGTGGAAAGTCTAAGAGCAACAACTGCTCAGCCGCGGAGTGGTAGGCCACATAAGCTCACAGAACGGGACCGCCGAGTGCTGAAGCGCCTAGCCCATAAAAATTGTCTGTCCTTGGTTGCAACACTCACTACCGAGTTCCAAACTGCCTCTGGAAGCAACGTCAGCACAAGAACTGTCCGTCAGGAGCTTCATGAAATGGGTTTCCATGGCCGAGCAGCCGCACACAAGCCTAAGATCACTATGTGCAATGCCAAGCGCCGGCTGAAGTGGTGTAAAGCTCGCCACCATAGGACTCTGGAGCAGTGGAAACGCATTCTCTGGAGTGATGAATCACACTTTACCATCTGGCAGTCCAACGAACAAATCTGGTTTTGGCGGATGCCAGGAGAATGCTATCTACCCGAATGCATAGTGCCAACTGTAAAGTTTGGTGGAGGAGGACCTTAGTTCCAGTGAAGGGAAATCTTAATGCTTCAGCATACAATGACATTTTAGACGATTCTGTGCTTCCAACTTTGTGGCAACAGTTTGGGGAAGGCCCTTTCCTGTTTCAGCATGACAATGCCCCCGTACACAAAGCGCGGTCCTGACCTCAACCCCATCGAACACCTTTGGGAGGAATTGGAACGCCGACTGCGAGCCAGGCCTAATCGCCCAACAGAAGCAAGTCCCCGCAGCAATGTTCCAACATCTAGTGGAAAGCCTTCACAGAAGAGTGGAGGCTGTTATAGCAGCAAAGGGGGGACCAACTCCATATTAATGCCCATTATTTTGGAATGAAATGTTAGACGAACAGGTGTCCACATACTTTTGATCATGTGGTGTAGCTTAGGTCACCTGTAGGTCATTCGCTTGAAACGTGACACATCTGAAATGAGTTGTTGCAACAAACTTGTCATTTGTCTGTGGTGTGTTCCACAAGGTACTAGATAACCTTACTTGGGGGAACAACCTCTATATCAATGCAGAATACAGCTAGGAAAACCAAAGTACTAGTTTGAAAAGGGAAATGATCCACCACAATCTTTAAACATTTAGAAATAGAAAGATCAACTTATCCATCGTATTTCCCCTTGTCATGTCATAACCTTGTGTTGTAAATTATTGGGGGGAGGAAATTGGTTTCTAACAGAGCACAACTAGATGTAAGGTAGGGAATCAACCAAAACCCTAACTTCTGGGTTACCATTTGAATATGGAGGAAAATACAGATGTTTTCTTCCCCCTCATAACATTCCTCCTCCTACAGTTCCCTCCCTGTCATGGCCGGATTTCTGTCCTGCTTTGGAGAAGTTTCATATAGAAACTCTTGGTGTGCCAGTGAGCCAGCTCTTTTCTGCTCTGTAAATCAGACGAATGGGGCTGAGGAGAGAGAGGGGGAGGGATGGTGGAAGGAGACGGAGAAGAGAGGGGGGATTGTGTGTGTGTTGTCGTCTCCAACTGTGGAATGTTGAGTCGGCAAGAAGAGCTCAGTGGCAGGTCTGGAACCAATCAGAGCAGAAGGGCTCAGGGCCAAAGAGACGGGTGAGAGAAAGGGATAAAAGGGGGGGGAAAAAGAATGGAGAGAGAGAGAGAGACTGACAGGCAGGCAGGCATGTTTGGGGGAAGAATGGGGGCAGGGAGGGAGGAATGGAGATGAGCGAGGAAAAGAGTGAAATGTCGTAGGTTCACCCTGCCGCCTAGTGGATGGTTGCTGTAGCACCCTGCTTCCAAATGACTTTGGCTAACTGGTTGTAATGAATTTGTGCTGCCTACAATTTGGAGCTGCCTACAAAGTGATGATGTGTGAGTCTGGCCCTGATGTTCTGCCCTGTCTGGGACTGACTGTGTGACTGTGGTGGGCTTTTTAAATTTGAGTCCCTGTGAAGAAAGGTTCAAATAAGTACCTGTTATGATTTTTAAAATATTTGTTGTTTTTATATGAAATTAATAAAATATATGTTGGCTAAATTACTGTCAATAGAATTATTTCAACAATTGTTGGTATTTTAGTTACACCATTATATGCACATTATTGTGGGGGGACGAGATGTTTACTGTTGCCTTGTTGTATCATGATTGAACTAGTAAGAGAGGTAGTTGTGATGTTGAAGAACCCCCACCAGAGGGCAGGTCTTGCTCACAGTAACAGCTTGACTGTGTTTCAAATGAGTTCCTCACTTTCCTGGTCTGATGCATCATATTCTCTCTCTCTCTCTCTCTCTCTCTCTCTCTCTCTCTCTCTCTCTCTCTCTCTCTCTCTCTCTCTCTCTCTCTCTCTCTCTGTCTTTCTCTCTGTCTCTCTCTCTCTCTCTCTCTCTCTCGACCCCATACATATCTACTGTATGTACATGTTTATGTCTGCTTGAATGTCTGCAGCTTTGTCTCCATCCAGTCTGTTCAGACTCTTAGTACAGGCTGTGATCCTGATCTGCCACACCTCATTGGAGGAGAATGGACCGAGGTCCTCTACCTTTGCTTTGGCAGGGGCTCCTTCTGCCTGGCTTGGCAGGCACCAATAGCTTGTCTATGTGCGGCCTGCCTGTTCCTGCTGATCTGGCAGCGAGGCATCGTGGCTGGCTGCCCCTAGCTGTAGCTGGAGCACTAATGTGCTGTGAGCCATTGTAATGAGTTCAACTGGAGACCCGTAAGACTGAGACAATCAGTGTGTCAGACTGGGTGTGCCAGCCAGGCGGACATGAGGTCCGACGGCTCTATCCACTGGCCAGGGGTACACTGTTTGGCATATTATTGGACCTAGGTGTCTGTCCAGGGGTTTGTTCCATGGACCAATGGACCAGGGGTGTAGTGATTAGGCAGAACACTTTTTATATTTGAAGTTATTACAGTATTATTATTTATGTGAATATTTGTATATTTGTTTATATTGATAATATTTCTATCTATTTGGATCATTCCATTATGGATATTTGTATATGAATCCCTCCTTTATATAGGCTAGATGCTCCATTTAGTTTAATCCGTATGACGTCATATCTATGACATCACTGCTTCGATCAGTAGGCGAGAAGAATATCGTTTTTGAACATGTTAAATTCATTTTCTTTGTAAACTTTTCATTGCTATGTAAAAGGTAAAACGGATAAACTTTTGAATGTTTTTATTTGCGTCAGACTCACTGCTTTTTACATAGACTACTGTGGTTGAATTTATTGAGAAGCCTGCGCCACTACAATTGGTATTGTTTCTGCAGT